CTGCCTGGATGGCAGACTGGGTGACGAATGATGCATTTTTCGGATTTGTTCGCTTTTTGCACACTTTTCCTTGTGGGATTGCATTTTTACTATACTATATACCAGGCTGGCATTGGGCTCGGCGCAAGATGTGTGTTGTTTTCTTTTTCTTCCATTATCTATTTCGAGCCTTTGAGAGGACGGACAATCCTCCATGGCTGGTTTTATGAAGCATCTAGCATGGGTATGGGTTTCTGGGATACAGAAAGAACAAGAACAAGATGGTAGCGACCATGGATTGGGACACTGCGGAATCATGGCGTTCTCGCTGGGTGATACCAAAATGTCATCTCTTCTCGAGATGATTTACATAGCTTAGGTAGTCCTGGAATTTCAAATTCGACTACTATTCACAATTCACAGTTGGCGTACCCGGAGTGCCATGGCAAGGGTATATAATCTCTTCAAATTGCAATGTTACTTTCTATATCCGAAATACTACAATGTGCTTCTTTGTAATCTTTCGATTGGTCACTTTTACGGGCTGCTGCGTATGGACATGCTTGGAAAATGTCATTGGGTGCGAGGGGGATATGCAAGATTGCTAACCGGTGGGTGGGTGGTATTGGCGGGGGGTGTTCGGGAGAGAAAAGGAGGGAAGCGAAGTGGTATTTTTGACAGAGGGAGAGGAAGAGATCCTCTGGAAGGGAACTTTCGGGTTGAGATGTGGGAATGATGAGAAAGGATTAGATATGAAAGAGTGATTGGGGCATGGGGGAGCGGAATAGCATGATTGCTTTGTTGTTTGGATGCTTTCCCTGATTTGTTTCCCCTGCGAGATGCCCAACGTTTGATTCATCATCGGCGCAGGTGATCACTAACACGAGAACAGCCCTCCATTCATTGGCCTTTTGGAAAAGAGGTATTCAGCTACAGCTTGTTCAAAACAATCGAATTGCGCCCGAATGCGTCTACATTCAACAGCACAGTATCTCTCGGCTTTTTTTTTTTTTTTTTTTTTTTTTTTTTTTTTTTTTTTCTTCACTCTCACCCCCTCTCTCTACCTTGTGCTTTGGAGCTGGAGTTGGGGCTGGATCGGGCTCAAGGTGAAAGGGGCATGGGCATTTACAACAATCAGCTGACCGGGTACAAACAGAATGAAGTATCTTTGACAGCTACTTCGTATGCAAAGTGGAAATTCAAGGCGACAGAGACAAAAAAGAAAACTAGGAAGTCATGAGAAAGGGGTGCTTTCGGTCAGTCTGCGCGGACGAGATCCGATGTTTTTTTTTCCCTTTGGTTGCAGGGGCATTTTGGGAACAGGGAGGGTGAGTTTGAGGTGGAAAAAGATTGCATGGGTGTGGTTGTACATACGACGCTTCACTAACTACCTACGAAAACTGCAATGGGGGCATGAGGATTGGGTTGTAATGGGTTGAAAGTTGCTTTGGGTTGGCTTTGATTGTTACCTATGCGAGGTAACGTGAACATATGGAGTGCAGATATCAATGGGGCATTTGTCGTGAGTTTGCGTACTGTGCTGGAGAGAGAGAGGGCAAATCGTTGGAGTTGAGTGAATGAATCCATAGCATTGCATGAAGCCCTGGAGCCTCTCGGAGCGCGTCGTCGCTCGCGTACTGTGAGGAGAAAAAAGCGACGGAAAACCACGACACTGGACAAGGGGGTGGCACTGCATCTTCGGTCTTCTCTTTTTCTCGGCCTTTTGACAGAGTGGAAAGAGTAACGTGGCGAGGGCAAAGTTGGGGGGCCTGCGGAGGAAATTCTGCTGGAAACCGGGGTGGTGGAAGAGAGGAACCGACCAGGCATGGATGAGATGATTGTTTGGTGGTGAGTTTTCTGGTCTAAACGGACCACGCGACGGGAATCCGTTGCCACCTGGGCGTTATTATCGTACTCGTACGCTGGGCATTTCGTACAGGGGATTTATATGTGAGGTAGGCTTGGCGTGGCGTGGTGGCGGTGCAAGGCATGAATGAGTGAAGAGATGCGGTGGCGGGTGGACGCGGTGAGTTTTACGATTGATAGATGCTTTGATGGGCTTGTTAGCATTACTACTACTAGCATGATGGTGGACACTGTACTATTGATGCGGCGGATCAGGGGGTTGATGGTGTTGTGTCGAGGCCTCAGCTGGGCGCAGGCGTGGCCTAGCGCGCAGAGAAGCGATGAGCTGGAGGAAACACGTGTGCGCGACACGTAGAAACAAGATTCGACAGGGTGGATGCGTTGTTGAGGGAGCCCGAATGGTCGGGGAGGAGAAAGAAGAAGTGAGGGTTGGGATGATGGGAGAGGGTTGGATGCATGGATGTGATGTTGCTTGCTGTTGTGGGATTGCATTGCTACCTGGATATCAGTGATTGATAACGGAGTACTTTGTACGACATACTACAACGAACAACCTGGAGTGAGTCGGGTCATTATTCGTGTTTGTAATCTACTGTATGTTTGTATGGGACGCATACATGGTAGTATATGAATGCTATCGGCGATAATTCTTGTGCCTGAGCAATTGGCATTGGGCTTCCAAGTTGCCGGGGACCTGGTCAAGCAAGCACCCCGTACAGTATGTAATCCTCCACGCTGAGCATGCCGTGATTACTTGGCTTGTAAAATTGACAGATATCCTTGACAAAAGATGATGCAAAATTGTGAGAAGAGTGAGAGTGAGTGCAGCATGCAGGAACGTGGAGCTGCCAGGGGGGGCCTCATCTGGTACGAGGGCTTTTGTAAGTTGTAACTTCTAGAGGCGGGAACAGCGACAGGCACAGGCGTACGGAGTAGATAGTATTATGACCGGGGACAGGGAACGGAACAGGCATGCCGCTGCCGGGAGAGAAAAGAGAGAGAGACGGAGATGGGGCGAAGATGGCATGGAACACACACAGGCACAGTATGTAGGAACAGAGAATCCGTCTATCCCGGGAGATGCGACACTGAGGATGGGCATGATGGAGATGATGACGACTGCTGGACTGACGGCAACCAGGATGCTTGCTGTCTCTGTCATTCTTGGACTTGTGTCTCTTCCACCTGGTATCTAATCTTCTCGTATTACCCCATCGGGATTTGTCTCGTCCTCTCACGTCTTCCTCTTGATTCATCCGTAGGTGTGTGTGAATGCAGCGGCGCGGAGTCGATAACGGCCGAGAGGAAGCCGGAAAAACCGCGACGGCCCTTTTGAGCGCGGGGGGCACAGAGAAGGTGTCTGGTTGGATGAGTGGTGGTTGTAGTAGTTGTATCGTAGAGTGGCATCATGCGGTGGTATCTGGTGCGGAGGGACGTCTTACATACCGGGGAAGCGAGGTGTTTTGATTCCATGGGAGGATGCTCGTATTTGCGGTTTGGCATGTGCCAGTCAGTTGCTGACCTGTGTAGGCCAGAAGTTGCATGGTGGGATTGAGTGTTCGAACCAGGCGAGTGAATGTCTTTGAGAGTGAAGAGATGCGTGATGCTTGGTGTCACCGTATTGAGCCAAATCCGTGATGTTTACGTCCACTCGACTCTCAACCCGATTCACTCCACTCCTTTTGCGTTTCCTTGCACATGTGCTCTGTACGCCCTGGCCTACCCGTACGCGCCCAACTTATCAATTGCTGCTGTGCGATGGCCGGCATCCTTCCATGTAGCAATGACCTGAGGATTCGTCTGGTCCGTCAAATCTCTTCTGTGTCTCCCCCCGTGCATCCATGCATCATTGATCCTCAGGCCGGTGTATCCTCAGCGCCCTCAGCGCCCACCAGCAACTGGCTCCAGTGCTGCTGTAGGCGCCCAATCACTGCCTCCGGCGGCTACCCCCAGGCGCCTAATCGGTTTCTCGCCAGGGCCAATGAGCGCCAACCGCCTGCCCGCGCGCGCCTAAGCCTGAAACCCCAGACCTGCAAACCTCGACGACTCCAAACCTCCAGCTCAGCAAATCCGGCGCATCGCTGCCAGATGCTGGGGCATCAGCCATGACGCATCGCCCGCCTCTGCCGTTGCCTGCCGGCCAGTCGTTTGCCGGCTTGCTGCTCGCCGCCATGCCGAAGCTCCGTCGCTGCCCTGGGCGGCCGTATGACTTACATGCACACATGCACGAACCGATGCCTTTCGAGTCGTTCTGCTCCTCCGAACTGCTCGGTCCCTGTCCACGCAGGCGTGTGTCGAGTGGCACCGGCGCCCTGACGACTGGCCTCGAGTGGTCCTGGACCGCCCGCAGGCTGCTTGGCTCTTGTTTCGACAGCCCTGGCGGACCTGCATTCACTCGCTGGCAGTGCAGGACGGGCCTTGAAACGTGCTCGTGGACGACGTGGTGAACAAGGCCCCGGAGCAAGAAGCCGCTGCCCAAGCATGGCGGCGTGAAGCGTGGCCGATGAAGGGGGATATGGAGCTGATTCAACACGCCAGAGTCTTCCGATTGCGCGCCTATCCTCTGCAGATAGTGGCATGGCAAGAGTCTGATCTGGGTCTGTGTGCTCTCGTCTCTCATAATCCGCTTCCCTCGTGACTGAGTCCCTTGGAGTCTCCTGTGCCCTACCCAGTTTTCTCTCCCCATTCTTCCATTCACCTCTCTCTGCTTTGCATTCTCCCGTGTTTCTCTCCAAATTTCTCCATCTGTTTGCTTGTTCATGTCACGTTCATTCACATACTGACAACCGTTCATTGCTTGTCTTGTTTTCCCGGTGTTTGGTATATGTGTGTCATTTGTCTTTATGGGCACATTGTTCATACTCTGATACAACATACGGCCTCCAGGATTTACCTCGCCTCAGCTCTCTCTTCTCTGTCTCGCCATTTTCTTTCTCTATCAAACGCATCTTCAGCGACTTACGCGGCTGTTCAGCCAACCAGAAAATCTCCGAATAATTACGAACTCGACGACAATCCTTGATCGACGCCGACTTCAGATCCTGCCTTGAGTCATTCAAGAACGAAGCGACAGACAACCTTCTGTCTATTACTGGGGACGAGAGCCGTGAGATCACAAACTTGGACCCTACGGCTGAAGCTGTGGCCGGATCACAATGACTCTTACATCGCGGTCTTCTTGCCTCTTGCTGCTGGTTTCAGCATTGGCATCATTCGCTTCAGCCTCCCCAGCAGGTCTCATTTTCCAGGAATCAAAATGCTCCGCGGGCACCTCGTCTTGCGGTGCCGGCCTGCCCAGCAACTTCTGCTGCTCCGAAGGAACATCTTGTATCCCCTTGGCCGGCAACACAACGGCCATGTGCTGTCCCACGGGCCAGACGTGCGAAAAGATTCAGCCCATCACCTGCGATGTCAGCCAGCAGGACCCGAGCAAGAACCAGCAGTCTCCGATCAAGACCAGCGTCTTTGACGTCCCGCTGGGCAAGTGTGGCGCCGATCTCTGCTGTCCATTCGGCTACTCGTGTTCCGGAGACGACCTGTGCGTCAAGGAGTCTGACCAGAGCGTGTCTCCGGAGAAGGCGGCAGCCTCGTCAACGACCGCTTCGCCAGCAAGTACCACACCAACAAACTCTGCGCCTGCTTCTACGGAGCCGCCTTCTACATTCAGCACTTCTCTGGTCGTTGCACCCGTTACCACGACGCCAGTCTCGTCGCCAGCCTCTTCGCCAGCCTCGTCACTAGACTCGTCGCCAGCCTCATCGCCGACTGAATCGTCACCGTCGTCGCCGGCCTCGTCTTCAGCTTCGTTGCCAGCGTCGTCTTCAACATCTTCGCCCACGGCCGATGCAAGCTCCGCGACGCCGGATTCGTCGTCCTCGCATGCTTCCAACCCAAAGACCGTCTCCATCATTGGTGGTGTCATTGGAGGCTGCGCCGTTCTGGTCGTGCTGGGAGCCATCGCATTTCTCTTCGTTCGTCGCCGCAACCTCCACAGGAAGGATGACTACTCCGAGAAGCCAGCGGTGGGAAGGATCAAGCATCTCGGCCCGGGCGGCGGTCGCGCCGGCAGCGTCATTTCCGACCCCATCCTCCAGCCAAACTCGTACCGCACCGACTTCATTCGCAAGAGCCCTTCCATCCGCTCTTCCATCAGCCAGGGGCCGCCGCAGATTGCTCTCAACAACAACAACTCGCACCAGCGCTTCTCCATCCCCAATCCCTTTGACTCTCCCAGCCCTTCAAACCACTCGAACACGTCGCCGACAAGCTATCGCGATTCCGTCACCTCCGAGGACGAGCGGAATGCCCGCACAGGCGTCGTCGGCTCCGGGTCCCGGTTGCCCCCCATACGGGCCATGAAGGCTTCCAGCCGGCGAGTCTATCCGCAGGACCTTCACAGGGTATCGAGCGGTGAGAACATTGACGTGTTTGCCGACCCCTTCACGATGACCGGTAACTATGATCGGCGCGGGACGCACGCCACCACGTTTACGGATCTCATGATTGAGGCTGATCTCGGCGATGTGCGGCGCGGGCAGCCGTATCTCATGCCTCCCCCGATGAACCGGATATGACGGCCATGATCATTTCCCCTGTTTTTAAAAAAACCTCTCTCTCTCTCTCTCTTGCTCTTCTTTTATCTCTCGTCATATACAGGCATACTGGTTTTTGGTCTCTTGCGTCTTCTTGTTTCACGTTCTCCTTTGTTTTGTTTGGCACCCCTTAATTCTCCTTTGAAAGATTGTTTATACGGCGACGAAAGGACAAAAAGGGGTCTTTGTTTTTTGTTATTTGTTTCCCTGCTTTTCTCCTTTGTCTATCAAGAATGAGTGATACCTATGAATACCCGAAAAGAAAGGGGCTTCATCATTATAACGATATACATTTTCCTTTGTGTATATACCTGGGACTGATGATGGTCCTAATGGGGCGGCTGGGCTGGCATGAGAAGGCGTGTAATTTGATGATTTTGGGCGGCATTGAAATTGGGTTATACCAATGGAGGAGCATAAGGAAAGGAAATCAGACGGGATGAAGGGGGTGGTTGGTGGTAATAAAGCGGTTGGATCTAATGACTTTAGACATACACTACCTTAGGTAAACTCGAAAGAATGAAGAAACATCTTGACAAATCACGAGTTTGAATGAGGCCATTTGGACACACGAAGGTGTCAAGAGCATCAAGAAAATGACAAAGAGCATCAAGATTGGACTGTACTATCCAGTAGATATACCTTCAAAATCATGTTCTCGCTACATTTTGCTGTGTAGATTATGGATAGCGGCTGTACATATATGTATATCCATGAGAGGGCGTAGTAACATCCCTCTCTTGTACAAATCATCAGACGAAAAAAAGCATCGCTCAAAAACGAAACCCAATCCCATGACAAAAAATGAAAAGAAGGACCAAAAGATGTAAAACCTTCCCCCCCAGTTCAAAGAAACACAAAAAAACCCATCACTTTATACCTCTTTGCTGTTTCGCTGTTTCGCTTTTCATTTCATCTTTTTGTGCTTCCGCTATGCCCGCTGATAGATGATGTTCATTAAATGAAAACAAGATGATAAACAAAGAAAAACAGGAATCCCATAACAATACTGGTGTGCGCAAACGTCCCGATATCCCAACGTTAAATCAGAGAGTATTTATGGAATGGCAGACAAAACCACAAGGCTCGCTTGCTTGAGACGATGATAAGCGCCACCCGACTCTCCGTAAAAAATGGCGGTCCTGCAAGTAAAATATGGACGAGGACAACACGAGCAAAGACTCCTCGAAGCAACGGTACATCACATAACGCTGCACTTTTTGTCCTTGTCGTGCTCCTTGGCATGCGGCACATCCATGTCCATCCAGATGCTGCCGTTGTGGTCTTCCTCCGTAATGGTCGGCTTGGGCGTCTCCTTCGTCTTCTTCTTCTTGGCCGTCCACCCTCGCTTCTTTGCGTCACGCATATTCTTTGCCGCGCTCCTCTCGGCCCGACTCGGCCGTCTGTTTACGGTTGACGGTTGCCTTCCGGGCGACGCCGGGGGCCCCCGCATCCACGTCGGCAAGACGAGGTTGGTTTGCTGGACGGGCTGAGGGCCTCCAGTGGAAATCGTCTCCAGCCTCTCTACCGTGGGAGGAGCGGCAGAGCCGCCCGTTGCGCGGGGGCGCCTAGGCACGGGCGCCACGATCGGTGTGTCGCCGCGGCGGGAGACCCTACGTCCCGGGGGATCAAAGGCACCGCCTACGCCGCGTGGAGTGCTGATGATCAGGGGCTGGTCAATGTCCGCATCGGCAGCGTTTGTTGGCGTGGGAGCCAGCGAGCCCGCAACCGGCTGTGGTCGATAAAGCTGCTGGTACTGTGTCGAGTGCAGACTGCCTGCTAGGTTGACAGGATTGCCCTGGCTGACTCTTCGAATCAGCCTGGCCATTTGATCGGAGCTCGGAGCCGGTGGCAAGGATGAGCGGGCGATTTCCGTGGTGGAGGCAGAAGCAGTTTCGTGCCTGTCATCAGATGATGATGGAGAGACCAATGGCCAGGTCTGCGCATTGGACAGCCTTCGTCCGATAGGACTCGAGGCACTCTCGAATCCGAGGCCCGGTGAGCCAAAGTCGAATTCGGGATGCACCAGGGGGCCTACCGTAGCCGGACTGCTCTCGTAAACCCCCATGGAAGTGCTTGATGATACCGTCGTCGGTTGTGCCGTGACAAAACCCTGCGAGGCAGCCATGGAATGGCTGTCCCGGCTTCGAGCCCTCATGGGCGAAGCTGGGGGGGATACGTCGTAGATGTCCTCATGATCCAACGGACCAGATGTGCTTGACAAGGGCGGATGCACCTCGTCGGCAGGTCGTAGTCTGCTGACTATTGTTGAATCGCTCGCGGACCTGGCGTGGCTTGACCCGCCCTGCTCATGATAGTTGCTGCTGTTCCCATGAACCGAGACAGGCGGTAGACTAGGTGGAATGACCAGACTTGGCAGCTGAGGTGGGACAGAGTTTGCGGGAGGATGCTGTTCATGCACCGGCAGCGCCAGATACTGCTGTGTTTGCCCCGGCAGGGAGACGGTCGCCAGAACTGTGCGGCCGCGAAGAAAAGCGGGCGCGTCTCCTGGATCTTCGGCTTGATACGGAGGCGGCGGTGGTTCCCAGTTATCCGCATCGCTCTCGTGCGGATGCTCTCTCCTGCCGTCGGCTCGACGGTACTCTATGGGCCGCCCATCAGCTGTCCGCGGATTCAGCCGGCGGCTGGCGGCGGCGACTGTGGCCGCTCGACGCAGAGCTGTCCCTGAGCGCGGGCTGGAATGAGCGTATGGGGCATCCATGGCTTCCTGTTCTTCTATCGACAAGAACTCCTCCTCGTCAACGATGGGCTCGCGGATGGCTGGGCGATGATCAGCAGCAGGGTTACGGCCCATTGTCCGTGGTACCAGTGGGTCATCGTCCTCGTTGCTCCGCGTCGATGCCGGCGAAATGGGCGACACAGCGTTGTGGCCAGCCGCAGCAGAGGAAGACGTAGGCGTAACGGCGATTGTTGCCGTTCGCACCAAGCTGCCCCTTCTGACTCCTCTTCCTCCACGTTGGGCTACCGTCCTCCGCCGTACAATGGCAACTTCGGTTTCGATATCACGCTGCTCCTCTTCGAGAACTTCGGCATCATCAGTCCCAACCTCAATGGTGATCTCGGTCGTGGTTCCGTCAGTAAGGGCATATCCAAAATCCACCAGAGCAATTCTTCCGCCATCAACGAAGTCCATGTCCTCATCTTCGGTGACGAGCCTTGGTCCTACAACTCCAGGGGCGGTGACAATCAGCCGCTCCTTGAGCAAAGCATCGCCGAATCCAGACACCCACTTGACGTTGTTCACGCCAACGAAGTCCACAGTCTTGTGTCCCGCCACAAAGTGGTTCCTGAGCTTATCGCATAGAATCTGCCACTGAGGAACTCGTGCGGTGCCGTCTGTGGGAGGAACGACCTCTTGCGTCCTTGTCGATGGCGATCGCGAAGAGTGGCTCTGAGCGCTGTTCCTCCGAGCGAGACCAGATGCATTGTCGGCGGCCAGTGAGGTTTCAGGCACTGCGGCCAAATCCTCGGGCACGCCATATATCCAAACCTCGCTGCCGTGGAAGCACGCTGATACCAGTTCGCCGTGATAGGTAGCTGAAGGCAGCGTGCAGGGGAGCAACTTGGCCTGCGAGTTTGACTTGGGCACTGGCCCGGTGAAGTGAGTGGTGCCATTTCTCAAGTCATCAATGCGAACGGCCCGAAAGGTCTCAAAGGTGCGGTCGTATGCAAACGCCCAAGCGGCCTCCTCTTGGCTCCCATCCTGCAGCAGCACGGCATGGCTGCAGTCACGGCTCGAATTGGGGAATAGTATGGACGTGGTCCACATTGCGCTTAGGTTCTCGTCTCCCTGCTCCATTGACAGGGCACCAGGGTCGTAGTACGGCGCAGTGATGACGACGGTGCTCGGTGGAGACGAATGAAGCGTTGTGCCGAGAATCTGAGTGCCGTCAAATGAAAAGGCCAAAGCATCCACCGCATCACACTTGACGGCGCGCCGTTCGGTGGGAGACGCTCCCCGGCTGAGCGCCTGGACCTCGATGCCGCCATCGTAGGCTGCGGTGAGGACGGTGCCGCAGGGCGACAGCGCAATGGTTCGCGGGTTGTTGTCGAGAATCATGGACTGCTTTCGCTTGGGCGGGGACTGCTTCAGGTCGTAAATGTCGACCTGCATCTCGGTGGAGAGCACGGCCAAGAGCGTGGCGTCGTTGGAGACGCACGCCGAGACCGGACGGCGCAGCATCTTGAACTCGCGCTTCATCTCGATGCTCGATCCGGAGGCGTTGATCAGGTACATCCTCGACGAGTTGTACGCCAACACGTAATGCCCGTTGGGCGACGTGGTGAAGCCCATGCCTTCTCCACCTGGACATGAGGACGAGCTGATGGCCTTGGACACGAGCTTGACGAGGGTGACGGTCGGCCGGACGTAGGACGCAAAGAGGTTTCGCTTGATTTCCCTGGCGAACAGCTGTCGCAGACGAGGCAAGTTGTCGGTATCAGCAGATGGCAAGCTGGCCGGGTTCGCCGCATACGTCGGACATCGAGCGAGGTGATATCGGTAGAGGTGCGGGCGCTGCGACACGTCCCGCCACTTGCGGTTGAGCGTCATGAGCGAGGCGAAGCCATTGGGATCTGTCGCGAGGAGTATCCTATGATGTGGCCGTCAGATGTGCATTCTCCTACTTCTTTAAACCACCCTGTTGTCGTCTCTCCAGAATCCATCTGCCCTGTTTTCTTAGGCCATCAAAGCAATGCCCGGGGGGAGATGCTCACTGCTCGATGATTTCGTCGGGTAGGCCGTCGAACGGTGGCGGCGCCTCGAGAACGATGGGCACCTTTTCGATGCTCAACCGTCGCGCCTCTGCCGGCGCCGAGGCGTCGTCCATGACGCTGCTCCGCTAGCAAAATCAGCAACTCGTTGTGCCGGGTCCACGATGCGGCATGTCCAGGCGACGGTCGGCGAGGAGGGGGAAGAAGCGCTATTCGAGGGTCCGCGGATGAGCAGCTGGTGCAACGGCGAAGCGACTGGCGGACGAGGAGAAGGATGATTAGAAAAGAAGAAGAAGGGAAAGGATTAAAGGAGCGATGAGGCGGAGGAAGCGTGTGGCTGAGAGGCCCGACTATTACTAGGAGGTAGTCTAGGTACTACTGTAGTAGGCACCACCTATTCTCGAGACAAGCAGGTGCGACTGAAAAAGGCTGCTTCCCCGTACGGAGTGGCACAAACGGGGTATCCGGGACTTTGCATGGCGTGCCGACGAGGTCAGTCCCGCAGGTACCGGGAACCTGCTGATGGCTCCAGGCCCAGGTCTTGCCTCAACTGTCTCTAGAAGCTGAGCTCCCGCTTTCTAGCGTCCGCACCGACCCCCGTCCAGGCCCGCTAGTGCCCTGGAAGCATCACCAGCTGGGCCGGCTTACAGCGCTCTTGGGCTGACTGATGACACCACGATTTGCTATCGTGGAAGGCCATCGAGGAACACAATACATAGGTAGTATTTCCCCTACTTACTTATAGATACATGCAAAAAATTCAGGCTGGGTGAGAGACATGCTATCAGAGTGCCTCATTGGGTGATCTCAAAAGGCACAAGTTGGCAAGAGCATGACATGTGCTCCTCTCTGGCCAGAAATGCTCCGTTTGAACGGCCAGCCATACCCACTCACACGGAGCGCATCCCATGTCCCTCTCGGAGCGCCTCTTTCAATGCAGCATGTCCTACGCATGATCCAAGTGCTGGACAGTCCGTCCATTGGATTCTTCAGCAGAGATCTTGATCTCTATCGCGATCCTTTGTGCTCTGCTGTATCATCGTCGTCGTGAATCTGGGTACATACCTAGGCACTGATACAGCTGATACAGCATGAATAGCCAGGCCTACGAGTACGCATACAATCATGCCTTTTATATTCTCCGTACCTTGTCCTCGCTTTTACAATCTCACTACGCCGGCACACATATCCGTACATTGCGCGCACAGATAATCTCGAGCAGAATCGCTGCAGATCCTCCTTGCCTCCTTACCTACCTACCTTACCTACCTACCTATCATATGCAAAGCTAACGAATTTGGCCGACGTGCGCCTCACATACGTCCTGACGTCGTGGAATCCATTCCTTCTCGACCGGATCAACGGATGCTTATGCGACTGATGGAAAAATTCGAGTATCAATGCAGCTGTGGTTGCCTTTATTAGAACTTTTTCGATCTGGTGATTCCACATGCTTTCAGCCTGCAGCTCACTTATACAAACGCAACGTTCTGACCAGCAGGCTTCCTCCCCTCCCCCCCTCCCCCTTCGGCATTATTGCCATGGCTTCGGACCCGAAGAGCCTTTATACCAAGAGCATTGTAATGCTTCCCCTGACTGAATACCAACACAAACAAGATCCCAAGGCAAGCATGGATCTTTGCACTCTATCAATAGCATACTACATAGCATACGGACATACTGTGAAAGCCAATTTCCCAGCCAGCCTAAGCCCAAAGAATAAGGTGTAAACAAACAGCCTTGGCGCTCCCCACTCTTCCCGTCAGGGCGATTCTTTTTTTAGCATCCAAGGAGCCGAGGCTTCTTTTTGGTTTAGAACAAGCTGGAGAAAGAGGACTATCGTGATGGTCACAGAAGGTGACATCTCCTCTATCCCCAAAGACTGCATTGCTCTATTTTACAGAGTGCGGTGCCCAAATATTAGTTCTCCCTTTCTCTGCACATCTCGGGATTAACTTAACAGACGCCCAACAGAGAAGACCGTAAGTCAGCCGCCAAACGGCTTTCCCCTTCCAACCGGCCTAGAAGGAAGCGAGTTGGGCAAACGTCCCCTGTGCTGTGGCTCGAGATGAAAAGCGCATCGCCCCCAAAGTGTATTTTAGTAGTATCCGAGGACAGAGCATGTCCACGGCCGTTTGGGCTCCGATCCGGCTGTCGCGTGGACGTGGCGGTGAATCACCCTCCAGACCTCCAGAGTACATATGGAGTGGTACAGATGCAAGGCTCCGCATGGCCGCAGCCTGGTGTCTTGTTCCGGTAAACGGCAACTGTTCTGGCCATCATCCTTGACCGATGCCTCCCAGTCGTTGGTTTGCCGCGCGGGTTGGATTTACCCAATTCTTCCGGATGTGTCCTCGGAGTGCGGATAGGCGATGCTTCGGGATGATCCCTCTTACGGACCATACTCATAACCCTTGATTTAGGCATAAGGAGGAACATGTCCCCTCACGCCCCTTGATGATAGGTGCAGCACATAACTGCGAGTTGGGCAGAGCAAAAAGTATCATGTCGTAAGGCCAGCGCGTTCAAGGAGGTCCCGCCAACTGATTGAAGTCGAACGGCTCCAACTCCTGTTCCAGAACAGGAACCTGCGCGCTCAGAAACTCGTCCGTAATCAGCGTCCCAATGTCATCCCCCAGATTCGCCAGGAAGTCATCCTGGTTCACCTCCAGCCCGTTCATCAGGCCCGGCGCGTTGAGGGGATCCTCCGGCGGCATCGTCGCCTGCGTCTGCTGCGCCTGCAGGAGCACGTCCCGAATCTCCCGCACGCACGGCCAGGTGTTCTGGATCTCGTCCATGGCCTGCATGATGAGCGACAGCGCGCGCTCAATGTCCGGGTCGCTCCACGAGGCCTTTTGGAGGAAGCGCTTCATCATGACGGTGCTTGCGGCGGTGGAGAGCGTGTGCACAAAGTCCAGGGGCAGGGACCGGTAGCGGTAGTAGCGGGAGTAGCTGCGCATGAGACGGAGGATTGCTTGTAGAGATTCGTAGCAAATCTCCACGTCTTCGCTTTCTGCGATGCCCGGGTTCTCGAACATGTGCGAAGGCGGGCGGTGGAGGATGATCATGATGGTATGGAACATCATGCTATTGATATCTGGATCAGTCATGGTGAAGGACGACTTCCGACCGTACAAGGGATGGAGATTGTGCGAAGGCAAACTGATCCAACTTACTGTAGATGCAAAACGTATGGAGGCACTTGACCAACCGTCCACTGGTTCCAGTGCAACGAACTGGGGATGCTCGTGAGCCATCTTGTCAACAAGACGTGTATCCTCCGCGTCTTGGTCGCGATAATGGTAGGATCTGCGCCTCCCCTCCGGTTCTCGAACAAATCAGTGATGATGAGATGAATGATCTTGGCCAGTTCGGCTCGGTAGATGAACGAGCCCACGAGCGTAACGCCCTTGTCCCACTCATTGGCCGACGCTCCCTTGCAAATGTACGTCTCCAAGAGGCCTTGCCAGCCAGGGGGGTATTGCAGCCGAATGGTGTTACGCACGTCCGACTCGCTGGGGTACAGGGCGGGAGGTCTCCCGAAATAGAGGCTGAGCTGCTTGTCGGCGGTGAATACTGCCCAGTAGACTCGGCGCAGGATTTCCCTGTCGCCGCTCGTCTCGTGGGCCTGGCCTTGCCAGTTGGTGGGATCGAGATGAAGGCCCATTTCGTGCGCGAGGCGGAAAGCCATGCCGCAGAACAGCCAGCCCTTGGATGCCCGTCCCACGGCAATCTCGCGGTAGCCTAGCAGGACGAGAGCTTGGAGAACCGTCAGGTCGGGGCTGTCGAGCGTTGAGTAGAGGAGGGTCTGCGCCTGGCCCGCGAAGATGTCGGAGAGGTTGAGCATATCGTCGTACTGGAGAGCTCCCAGGGCACAGATGGAGTAAAACAGAACGTCCGAGTAGTACTTCCCCGAACCAACATCGTAATCTCTCAGGAAATACTCGCGATACACAACCATGTTGTACGGATATACCTCCTGGAAGAATCGCGACATCATCTTTTGCGAAGTCTCATGGTGAGGTTCATACTGAAACGATGCACCCATAGGGCTGATATCCTCAAACTCGCCATACAGCTCGCTCAGGTCCAAGTTGGGGTTACTGTTGTTGGCGACGCCGATGCCGGGGCTGTTGCTGTAGGGTTGGGTATCGGTAATAGCCAAAGACTCCAAGGCCGTGGAGTTGGCGGCAACCGATGACTTTTGGGAAAAGTGTATCTGGAGTAAGCTCGTCCCGCCAAAGAACTGCGCGGCGTTGCTCCCTCGCAGCCGCCTGAGCTGACCGGACTTGACTCGAGCAGCGGCAAGGCTCGGATCCGTCTTGATGTCGGCCGGGCCAGCCTCGGACAGTGGCAAGCTGGGAGCCACCGAGCTAAGTGAAAGCTCAGAGATGATCTGGGTCCGCTCTGCGTCGTCTGCCAGAGCGAGCTTGTGAATCACTGTTTCCAGCGCGGCGATTTGGCCTTCGAGAGCCTGGACATAGCTCTTTGAGACCGGCCTGCTCGGCATCGCCGTCAGTATACAGAGCCATCTACCAGTGTATAGTCGAGCCACGACGGGCGTCCGCCTTACCGCTGCTTCTCTCCAATGCCTTGGAGAACGCACTCAGTGCCGGCCTTGGTGCATCTGGAACAGGGACGCTTCCGATCGCATTTGATCTACAGGTGCAAGGATAATCAGCGTCAGCCTCAGAACGCGCCCATCGGGAGCCACGGGATAGGACGCAAGACGGACCTTGCGACGACGGCATCGCTCACAGCTGGGTCGGCCGTTTGGTTAGCATAAGTTCAACTTGGAGCTGCCGAGGTGGAGGGGCTCACGATGTCCTGATGGAGTCTCCCAAGAGGGGCTCTTCCATTGTTGCGCTGCGTCGGGTCTATATAGCTGCCACAAAGGCTGTTGGTGATGTCTGATAAAGGGTCGAGTGCTGTAAACTCAATTGGTTGAGATGCCGCGTGAATGAAAGGAGAAGATGTCGAGTGAGAAAATGCAACACCAACCGATGACGGACGAGTGAGGCTCCAGCCAAGGTTGCATTGATGTGCCCTTCTGTTGGCACTACCGCCTACCTAATCGACTAGTCCCCTAGCCTTCACCTAGAAAATCGGCGTTGGCGCTTCAAGCGTCTCATCGGACGCCGACCGGAATGACCTCCAGTTGGTCAGTCGGCGCCTTCAACGCCACCAAGGATGCTGACTGGAGTTGTATATAGTCTCCCATCACAACTCACTCACTCACTCTACAATATCCTCATCCCTCGCATCCAACACCAACATGTGCCCCGGCGCATGCGCCATCACAACCCCCTCCAAACCCGCCCTCATCACCGCCTCCTGAGGCGTCACTCCGCAACCCCAAAACACAGGAACCTCCTCATCCTCATCCTCATCCTCAATCTCACCAATATCACTCCCTCTTCTCAAAAGCCTCTCCTCCTCCCTCGCCCTCCCAAACCCCATCCTCCCACCCTCATCCAGCGGGCCATCCCCCCACTCCGGCCCATCAATATCCCCAATCCCCAGCCTGCCCACCGCATCCCACCCCCAATCCACCGGCTCCCCGTGCATCGTGCCAAACCTTCTCGTCACCTCCCTCACTCGCTCCACGTCCCGCCTCCTGTACGGCCTCATCGACACCACGTACGTCCCGCTCCGGAACACCCCCGCCGCGCATAACCCCATCGTCGTCCTGTACATCGGCACGTTGCGCCCCTGCACCAGCTGCCGCGGCGGCAGGCCCGCCTCCGCCAGCGCCGTCTCGAACGAGTACGAGCAGCCGATCAGGAACGCGATGTGGTCGCTCGTCCATTCCGCCATCACGTTCTCGCAATGGCTCTTTGACAGCTTCGAGTCCCGGTAGACCATGTACCGGGGCGCGTCTCGCCTTATATCGCTCCCTCGTCCGAGGATCTCGTCGCCGCGGAGGTTCTTGATGTGAGACACGACGGCATCGCTACAGCCTTTGGCTGCAGACTCGGCAATCAGAGGGCATGGGACGGGGTTGCGGGCACAGAGAGTGCGGAAGTCGCTCGCGTATCGTGAAGGTAGGATGATGAGGTTGGCTTGGAGATGCCCGGATACCAGGCCTGAAGTCGACGTCGTGTGTGTCCCGTTTCGCGCGGCGAGTCGGGCCTGTTGCCCAGTCATGATGGGCGTGGTATTCATTGTGCTATTCGAATTGAGACTACAAGATTATCCAGGGCCTTGCAACTCCAGTGATAAAAGGGTTCTACATGGTATATATATACTTGTCTCTTTTCCATGTACAAATACTATGGGAACGGTAGTACCACCTATCAATGTTTAAGAAACAACTTGAAAAGCTGAAACCTGCATTGGATACTGAATCTGCGATAAGAGCCATATCCCATCCATCCAGGCATTCTTAAAGGCAGCCTTCACGCTGCCAGCTATAGGGCTGATCGGGGCGGAGTTGCGCCTCCGCAAGCGATGGTGCGTGTTTGTCATATTACCCAAGACGCCAATCGACCAGATTGGACCAAACAAGGCTAAGATCGGGCATCCCGCACGAGGCATGTGCCTGAAATAGGGATCAAAACGCCCGTCGGGAACGCACTCCGATCAAGCTGAATTAAAGTATGTGTCATTGACTTCAGCTGCTCAAGCATACTTGGTTAGGTATTCTAAAAGCTAGTGTATAACTCACAAACCCCCTCGGTCATGCCACAAAATTCCTCTTCTCTCACTACTTCCATTACCACCGTAGACACTCATGATGAAGAGCTGCTTGCCATGTTCAGAAGACCATATAGTGTTAGAGACACTCATCCAGAACTGAAGACCAATCTTCCCGTCATCACGCGCTTGCCCTGGGAGACCGTTCCAGGGTTCTCTTGACATATAGACGAACGGCCTTCCTAGCATCTCTTGCCCACCTCTTGACGCGCCATTCCACCTTCTCCGGTTCAACAGCCGCTTGCTCCTGGTTTCGAATGATCCCTGCGTCGTACCAGTCATTTGTGTCTTGATAGGACGTTATTGCAGGGGAAGGAAACGTATTTGGTTCCGAGCGAATGACGGGCAGTATCGTGCCATTGTACTTCTGCGTGCTGGCGAATCGTAGCCGAAGCATCGAGAGCTTGTTCCGAAGCCCGCGCGGTCCTTTTGGTTGGTAATCAACGCAGCTGTCGCCTGTCTGGATCAATACAGCACCGCTATTCAGTGGTGGGATGGCACTCGGATGTACCTCTGCCTTGGCAGGTGAGGGTGGATAGGGGATATTGAACTGATCAGATGGCTGAGGAGATGGCGGAGGGGATGGCTCAAATTGAATAGGCTTTCCCTCTACTGCCACTGAGTTGCAACTGCTCGAATCAAAGCTCGATACCTGTCCCTTGTTGCCCCTGTCCATTTCAACCCGCTCATTGAAGGTCCCCCTTTTGATACACGGCGTAAGCTCTGCCAGCGAGTTGCATTGTTTCAGTCGGGTGTTGAATGGCGAAAGCCCGCTCTGATCCGGCCGACCTTGCCCGACTTGACTCGGTGATGCGTTGAGCCGGAGTCTTGACCGTGATGCTGAGCTGTAGTAGTCCTGAGTGCTGTTAAACGTTGGTCTCTCAGAAGAAGCCGAGCACGGTGCACCACCAAAATTGCCGAGAGAGGAGGACGGTGTCGCATAGGCTCTCACTCTGATTCTTGACTGAGTGTTCTGTGGGCCTTGCGGTGTGGTGGGTGGTGCAATCTTCTGCTTCGCTTTCAACTGCAGCTTCATTTCTGCAAGACCGTCTCTGCTCAACATCAAGGGGACATTCTCCAGGTAATCACACGGCGTTGGTATACGCGCAGTACCATAGCCTGATAACTTTTCAGCTTCCCTTGGCAGCGGAGGCAAGGCTTTCATCAGCTGAGGTATACTCTCTTTGACTCTCAGCTGGCGTACGGGCGAGATTGGCTCCGGTGAGAGAATTTGTAGACTGTTACGCCGCTGAGGCGTCCGCTTTATATAGCTGTCTGGGACGATGCCAGTTAAGCTGATTCGCGAAGCCGCGCCGTTCCTGCGATGGCGTTTCTTGTACACGCCGCCTTCCTCCTCGATCCTCTGTGGCGGTGTCGGTGACGGCCACCTACTCGACCGTTTCAGAGCACCGGGATGCAGCTCGCCTTGTTGGTACACAGAGGCATCATGGCGCTCTCCGCTCATGGATTGAGCCTCGCTGTCGTTGGCGGATGGTACTCGTCCTAATCGATCAAAGGATGTCACGATTGAAGCGAATTCGGAGAGTGCTGGATCCAGCGAATATCTCAGCTTGGAAAAACCATCCTGAGACGGCTGTTGGCTCCGAGATTCGCTCAGCACGTCAAATTTGGTCTCGGTCACTTTCGAAGGGGTTTCCAGCGGAGAGTTTGACCTCGATGAAGCCGAATCGCTCACCAGTGAAAGCATATCGGTCGCATCTGCCTCCATGTCTGGCGATGCATCATCCTGCAAGCTCTGCACCTGGCTCTTTTCTTCATCAGAAATAGTAATCAAAGGGACGTCGCCTGGACTTGACTGGGCAGCCGAGTGCCTTTCTATAGCATGTCGTTCGTCACGAGAAGCCGATTGCTTGGTTTCCGCTTCTTTAGTGTTGCAAGCTGCGGCATCTGATGATTGAGACGGCTCTGCTGAGGGGTTCTCAGCGTCCTGTGCATCAGATTTTATCGAATCCGAATAGTTACCACCGAGATCAAAGTTTCCTTCGATGTCGTTCATTAGCAGCAGAGATTGACGAATGTTTTCAGCTCTCTTGGGTATGGGGTGTAATGGTACGTCCATCTCCCCGTCCCAAGGCGGCTCGTCTTCAAATTGCTCACTGTAGTCGTAGAATAAAGGACCAGGGGATTGGATGGAAGGGGCGCAGTTAGAATTCGACGTAGTCGGTCTATCGTACATCTCGACAATAGACGTGAGACTAGGCGAGCGAGTGCTTTGGTCCGCAGAGACTCGTTGATGCCGACTCGACTGCCTGGGCGTTCCCCATGGCAAAGAAGAACTACTCGGTTTGGCATGGCAGGGAACTGGTGCGTAAAGATAGGGCGAGTGCCGTGATCTCGATGGCAGAGAGTTTGTTGACCTATTGACATCGGGGCGGAAGGCCATGGGAAGGGGCCGTCGAGAGCCCTGGGAAAAACTAGGCTTGTATGACCCATGAATAGTTCTCTGCGAAATTGTCAGTAACACAAAGCCTTGAGCAAAGCATGGGAGAAGATGACAAACTTGGGAAAACCGATCAAGCTCAACCATTCTACTGTAGTCAACATCCCCATTGTCCCTGAGAGCTGGAGAGGCCGGGCGGACTCCCGGGCGCTTCAGTCGAGTTGGATATGGAAAGGGAGATCTCGGACGTTGGTAACCACTCCCACTTGACTGGCTCTGCAGTGTACCCGTAGACTTCTGAGATGGAATTCGCTTTGAGCTTGTTGTTGTCATGGAGTACGATCTGGGGTCATCCTCAAGACTGGCTGGAGAGACGGACGAAAAGAGCGTTTGCTGGCTTTCAGAGCCATAGAGGGAAATAATTTCAGACGTGGTGTCGCGATACGACCGCATCCTCCTGTGGTCCTCGGGGTGGTAGTAGTAGTTCTCATCGTATCCTGAAGGGCGTGGCGGGAAAGGCACGACTGCCTCCCTGGGATGCGACCTGGACCTCGTCGGACGCCCAAAGTTTGATGAAGAGTTGGGCCTGATGGAAAAGATGCCGATGTCTCCGGTTTCGGTTGTGGTCTTGAGCATGCTCTCCAGGGGCCCGGGGGAGCGCAGAAGAGCGGCATGCCCGTTGACGCCGCGTAACGGATGTCTCTGACCCGAGGGACGGGGATTATTGTAGCTGGTCATTCTGGACTGATATCGATACTGGCTGCGCAGCGAGCTATGACTGGCAGACCTCTGGCGTAGCCGGGCAGCGTCCATGGAAACGCATCAATCCCCGGGCAACCCGGGGAAGAATACAGATGTAAGATAAAAGGTGAGGACTCAGTCAGGGACCAGATCAAGAAACGGGGAAACCAAAGACGACAAATCGACACGTGGGAATCAAAAAGCTCCAGAACTCCAACTCGGGGCGATAAACCAACTCCAAGAAATCGCGGGCGGCCGGCAGTTTGGCACAAGCACCTCCATGGGAAGATGAAAAGAAAAGTCGAGACAAGGCAGCGGAAGATGGAGGGTCAAGGGCTTTTGAGAAGGCAAGGCGGGAACTTGTGCTTGCCTTAGCTTTCGGAGCCTTTAGCGAGGATGGCATGTTGCAGAGGGGAAGGTTCGACCGTGGAGGGAAGCCAGTGCTTTTCAATCCTAGAGGAGGAAGCCACGATGCGTCACTGTCGCTGTCAGCCAATGGATCCGAGAGTGAAAGTGCTCGGCAGTTCATCAGTCCCATAAGGGTACCTCCGGGAGACTTTGAGTTCAGCCATGATATGAACTGGTCGTAGCGGCAGCGATGGGTATCGCAATGGGCGAAGGTGGCTTGTGTGAGTCGATCTTTCAGGTGAGCAAGATTTCTTGACGTGCAGATACGGAGAGGAGGAATTCCGACTTCATATACCAGCATTACTTGGTGTTGAGATGAGAGGATTGACAAGTGCAGGGCTCAAGAGTAGGTAGAGATGGTCTGTAACCACCTGCGTGGTCATCACCCCAAGATCAAGAGCGAATGCATGTGATTCAGTGTCACGTCCGGGAAGCAGGGGCACAGCTTCACTGCCCTCATGTTCATAGGCTTCTTCCTCGAACGCAAGTCTGACCCCCATTAGCATTTGCCATTTTCCACACATGTCGCCGTGAAGCCAGAATGATGTTACCGTTGCCCCGGGAGAATGCCTCCAAACCCAGCACCGGATGTGTTGTACTGAGCAAATCGGTTGTTCTCAGATGTAATGTGATGGCCCCCGAACCTCTGCAGTGCCCCGATAGCCCACACCACATGGCAGCCTGGTTCGATGTACATGATAACCTCGTGAGATAAGGCAGGATCTCGTAGGACTCAGACAGAAAACAGTCGACATCCAGCAGATGCCTCCAATCCAGGGCACATCCATGTCGCCACTGGGCCCGCGTAAACTCTAATCAATGGGTGTAGGAGCTGCAATTAACCGAACGGCCGCAAAACAAAGACCGGTGGCCCAATCTCGAGCAGCGGAATCATGCCGCTTCGAACTCACGATACCACGCCCAGCAGTGCTGCTAATAGGTACCTTATACAGGGTGCTGCGAGTCTCGTGGAATCCAGGAACCCGGCATTTACCCAGAGGCAGTCGGACTACTGAGATGGAGGGCATCTCGGCCAATGGCGAGCCGCGCCCTGCATCAATATGAGACGTAGCTACTGAACTCTGTTCGCTGCCAAGCGACGGGGATGTGCATCTTCACTATTCCCTCTGAATTTCTCCTCCCTTCGGTTGGATTCCCTTGCCCGCCGCGTGCAGTGTAATGTTACGCGCCTTGTATGACAGACAGACAGGTGATGCCGGCCTCGTTTATGCGGGCACTTTGGCGAAATGATTTTTCCCATCGTGGACGGCTCACGTGTCTCAGTGGCCAGGGCTCCCCCGATTCTTTGCACGCTGGGTCGTGGTATTGCCCCGTAGCCGCACCTATTTGGGTCTCGCTTTAATAGAAGCGTCGGCAGTGGCCCGAGACAGTTGTTCTAGAATAGGATCGGAGATTAACGTGGAAACAAGATGAAGCCTGCCTTGTGTAGGTATTTTACACGAAGCGTGTAAGAGTGAATAGATCATTGTCAACCTCCAGTTGATATCAGTGATGGATCGACTCCTCACCAACAGCATCGACAAAACCCCTCCCTGCGTCCTCGTAACAAGATAGACTTTCCCTCGGCAAACAGCTCGCAACCACCGCGTCTTCTTCAACCGATCAACGCAGACAGCTCTGCCGGGCCTGAACCCTAGCGCCCCCAAAAACCCCTGATGAGGGGCCACAGAGGGCCATCGCCGGATCTTGACTGGCTGCATCCCCGCAAGTCTGGCTCTAGTCAGGGGCACGGGTGGGCAGCGGAGTGGGTTGAAGTGGGTGGCGGCATGCGGCAATCCTCGACCTGTCTCTTGCATGTCTGGTGGTTCCGGGTCTGGCGATGCTCTCTCGGTTATTACGGTAATACTGTATGGTTGGGAACGATGGGGAACAGTTACAGACGAGGAAAAAAAGAGTCGTGCATGACAATCCATGCAAGGCACGAGTGTGTGTGTGAGAAGTGTGTGTACCTGCAGCACAACTTTTTTTTTTTCCTTGTTTATTTTTAAACTGTGCTCCTCTCTCGCCCTGCTTTTATTTCTTCTACCCTTTTCTTTCGGCTCTAACAAAGTTTGTTCTTTCATCTCGTCAACCGTCGACTTTTTAAACTTTCATCAAAACCTTGCGGCCGTACCTTTTCTTCGGCAGATGAGTCTGAGGTTCTAAGGGAAGCCTCGTGGGATCAATGACCGAGCGACTGTCTTCTACATAAGGAGCCAGCATCATATTACCCTGTCTGCTCCGGTCTTCTTCTTCACGGATACCGTCTTCTTTCAATGACCTGACCGACTTCGTCTTCTTTCTTTTCAACACCACCTTCGTTATTTCCATACACACTCTTTTGACATACACGCACTCTTTTGATATAACATACATTCGTTCTTTTCAACAAACGTCCTTGGAACAAGCAAGGCCTCTTCTTCTTCTATTACTTTGTACTCTTGACACCAACAGACTCTTTTACTTCTACTATATACATCGCCATGTCTCTCCGCAAACCAGACTTCCACCTCCAGATGCCCGCCATGAGCCAGACGGACCTGCAATTCCAGCCGCGCAGCCCCATGCGCAGCCCGCGTTTCCGCGAGGACTTCGACGCCCCCTTCTCCGAGGCCTTCCTGGACCCTCTCCCGCCGCAGCCGCCCAAGACGTCCTACTTCGTCGAGACCAAGGACAAGATCGAGGCGCCGCCCCAGCGCAGCTACGACGACTCCTGGGTGCAGGTGCCTAAGCGCCGCGAGAGCGTCAACGAAAAGGTCCTGCAGTGGGCCAAGAGGTCCCTGACCATCAAGCGACAGCAGCGCCCGGCTCGTTTGGGTGACGGGTTTGTTGCCGAGGGGCGAGCGAATTCCAGGGCGTCGAGGAGAATCAGCGGCTTGCCGGTGGAGGCCATGTTTGGGAAGCGCAGCAACTCGCACGCTCAGCCGCCGACTATCATCACCGTTGCTGAAATCCAGAAGCTCGTGTGAGAGAAGACCGAGACGGCCGAGAAGAAAGCAGGATTGGCCACCAAGGAGCAACAACTACGGCGGAATAACAGACAATTGTATACACCTTCGGAGAAAGGATATCCAACCGGAAGAAGAAGAAAGAAGACAACTGGTTCAGTGGCCAATCTTCACTGAGTTATACCATCAACAGGAGTCCAGGGCACTTGTCACCTGGGTTTGGGCTGGTTAAAATGGAAATCTGTATGATAACGATTTATGACAATTTTTTCTTCACATCTTCAATACGTTCAGAGAAGGGCATCAAAATACACCGCCGCCAATGATGAACAACCGTTGCTCCTCTCGCTTGATCCATTGCATAATCTTATTCGCGCCCTGCGCCATTGCTGCCCGTGACAAGTTAGGCCCGCCAATGCAATACAGTTCAAATGTGGGAGTGAGCCAGGCGAGCGATGTCGCGTCGTCGCTCACACGCTGCAGGATCTTGAGGTGCGCATTCTTTGCGTGGGTTGCCGCGTGCAGCTCGTGATACACCGTCATGAGCCGCCTCCTCTTAACTACATGCCCAAAGGCGGGCTCCAGCGCCGACATGCAAAACTGCACATTCGCTCGCGACTTAAACAAGAAATGGCAGATCGGGCTGCCCGGGGCAATTTGTGCCATGCTGGGGCGCCCGGCTCGTGCGGCGTCTCGGATTATAGCCAGGCTGCCGTTCTTCGCCAGCTGCTGCGCGACGTCGTCTCGCATCTGTTTGAGGCTGAAAAAGGCCTCACGGTCCGCGCTGATGAGGATCATGGCAATTTCCTCATCGACCGGCTGCCCCACGGCCGCGGCCGGTGCCGTCGCCTGCTCGCCCGACACGCCTTCGAAGAAGCTCACGTACATGTACAGATAGCCCTTGTTGTTGAAAGCGGGGAGACACAGCGGGATCCAGTTTTCGCCCCCTCCGGCCTTGATGCCATCCGACTCGAAGAGCATGTTGAAGATGAGCTGCAGGTCGCTGGGGTGGAGGGAATGACGCCGTGGCCGAATGACACTGACGAGCTTGCCGCCCGCCACGATGAGTCCGTAGAGAAGTTTGTCGGCCCTTGATTTAAGAAACGTATTATTAATCGAGTGCCGCTGGGTCTTGCGCAGCTTCAAGCATTCCAACGAGCTCAGCAATGCCGAGGGCGACCCTTTTGTGAAGCTGTCCGCCAGTGAGGACAGCAAAGCCTCAGTTCCTTGCAAAGGCTTGCGCAGATCGGTGGACGGCCGGTTCGCAAAAATGTTGGTGAGGGAAGGCAGAGTGAGCGTTGACAGAATCTGCATGTACAAGGCCTCCAGCTGCACTCGTAGCTGCGAATCGCTCTCTCCAAGCTTACTGATGGCTACAAAGTAGAGTGGCCCCTGAGTCAATACCACGAACCGGGTATCGCCAGCCGTAAAGCCCTGGAGGGGGTTCTTGGCCCCTTCGTAGAAGGAGATGATGGTTTGCACGACTCCGATCGACGAGTTTATAAGGTTGAGGTCTCCATGTCGGCTCCAGATGGGCTTGCCAGCCGAAGACAGGATCATGTACTGTTTGAGCTTCGAGCGCCAAATGGCCAGCCGTTCGTCGTCCTTGAAGAACTCGTTGTGTTCGTCGGGGAGCGGCGCAAACTCCTTTTCGAAATCGGCAAGCCGGTCCTGCGCGCCTCGCTGGTGTCTCTCAAACGGCTGGACATTTGCCTGCAACTTGAGCGAGTTCCAAGCCGCGCTCTTCCTGCTGAGGGACGACGTCAGCAGGCTGGCAATGTCTCCGGCCGGGCGCATCGTCGGCGCAAAGCTCATGATGCTGGCGCCATCGTCCGCCTCGAGGCCGGAGTTGCTCGGCCGGCGGCTGGGCGATGCGTAGCCACTGCCGGGAGTCGACCCGGGCCGGGCGGCCGTTGGCGTGGAGAAGGTCCCTCGCGTGCCATCGGGAAAGGACAATGTCTGGATGTCTAGCGGCGTGATGGCGGTGGTCGCCTGGCCCTGCAGGGCCTTCGCATTCGCGTTCGCGTCGGCGGCGCTGCTCGCGCGTGGCCGAGGAGGCAGCGGAGGGGGCTGTTGCTCCTCGGGGGAGGAATCGCTCTCCTGTCCCATCGTGAGTCGCAGCGCTGGTGCATCTCAGGACGGGCTTGAGCAGGCAATCATCTGACGGCTGCAGTGGTGCGCGATCCGGATGCCCATCATGCCATTGCGTCGGCGGGCGGTGAGCGGCGACGGTGTTTGCAGGTGCAGAGCATCGATGACGGAGAGGAGAGACAAGAGGCGAAGCTGCGAGAGCTGCTGTCTCGGAGCCGTTTTAATGATGCCGCTGCCTGGCCAGTCCAGGTACCGGGTACTTTGCGGTCCAGGGCCTGCGAATGCGGCCCCTTGTATGAGTAGAGCTGTGTTTCTCCTGCTGCGGAGTGCTTCCAAGCGTCCCAAGTACTATCACCTAAGGTAGTAGGTACCTTTACTCAATCTGTATATACAGGATAACGAACGCTTAACACTCCAACTATTGTTTCCCATAGCTACTTCGAGTCTCCCTGCCTTATATCATCAATTCCCCGTGATGTACAAGCACTGTTTCCCCCATCATACATCATCGGTAGCCTTGCGTCAGCCAGCGCCAATCAAGCACCTCTAGTGGGGTTGGCTGCGCACGTCGTCTGCCGGTACAGGTACCTCGAGCCTGGAGCTTTGGGCGCAAGCACTGAAACGTAGCCTCCCAGCGAATGAGGTGGACTTGAAGCTGCCAACGACCATCTCGCAACTGCATCATCTCCCTACCAGTCGATTTGCCTACACACATCGCATCCACAGCTGTTCCTTGCAGCTATGCGCCTCGCGTCCTGGCTTCCCAACGCCGCAGTCATTGATCTCGCCCATGAACCGACCAGCCCGTCATAATGGCGCTTGAACTGGGCCCTGGTGTGCGATCCGGGTCGCCAGAGAGCTCGGGGCGGGACTCGCCCATTCCACGGCAATGGAGGAACCAGCTCGGCGGAGGTGGGTAGGAAGCCTCGTGGACAGCTTCTCTCGGCCGTGTCACTGATCCAGTAGCATAGAGGATGCCCCCATCAAGGACAAGGCCTACCGCAGATACGCTGCCGGAGTCGACAAGGCGCTGCTGCTGTTCGAGACGGCCCTGGAGGAATGGGCCGACTACATATCCTTCCTCAACAGACTGCTCAAGGTCAGGCACTTGCCTTGGGCAATTCGCAAGCCAGCGAAGGCGCCGTGATACGAGTTGCGACACAGTACACTGACTGATCACTTGGACAGAGCCTGCAAGCCCGACCGCCCAACGTCTCCGTCATCCCCTCCAAGATCACAGTCGCGAAACGTCTGTCGCAATGCCTGAACCCGTCCCTACCCTCAGGCGTGCACCAAAAAGCTCTCGAAGTGTACAACTACGTGTTCGAAACCATTGGTAAGGATGGGCTGTCTCGTGATCTCCCTCTATATCTCCCAGGCCTGGCACCTACACTCTCTTTCGCGTCCCTTTCGGTTCGCTCGCCGTATCTCGACCTCCTCGAGCGCCACTTCACGGGCATTGATGCCAGGTCGTTGCGACCAGCGATGAAGTCAATCATACTAGCGTTGCTACCAGGGCTGGAAGACGAGACTAGTGAGGACTTTGATCGAACGCTGCGGCTGGTTGGGAGCTTCAAGGAGGCCATCCGGCCGGCAGACAGTGTTGTCCTTACAGAGCAGCATGCCTCAGGGGACGACTTCTTCTGGCAATGCTTCTTCCTAGCCTCCGTTACGAGCCATAGCCGCCGCGCCGGCGCCCTCGCCTACCTGATACGCAACCTTCCCAGGCTGGGCGGGGATGCCTCTGCTAGCACATTTAGTGGTGATATTAGCCAACACAATGCCGACGGTAGCTTCAACAGTGAGGTTGCCGCCATCGTCACAACCCCAGAGCCCGGTTTGTTGGTGAGGTGCTTCGCTAGCGGACTCTCCGATGAGCAGTTGTTGATCCAGCGTGGCTTTCTCGACTTACTTGTCTCCCATCTTCCCCTGAATTCCCATGTGTTGCAGTCGCAAGTCAAGCCTGGCGACCTGGAACTTCTCCTGAAGGCGGCAGTCGGGGTTGTTACTCGACGAGATATGAGCCTGAACCGTCGCCTGTGGGCATGGCTTCTCGGTCCCGAGCCAACAGGCAACGAAAGTGAACAGAACCCTGAGCTACACAGCAACGCCGCAGACGGCCCGCAAGCTCATCTTTCCTCCCGAACCAGCTACTTTGAACAATATGGACTGCAGCCGCTTACCAAGTCTCTTCTCGAGATGATCAGAGACACCAAGCATAGAGGAGTTGCCGAACGAACTCGCCCATACCGGATATGCCTCTCCCTGATGGATCGATGGGAAGTCGGTGGGCTTGTCGTTCCAGACATCTTTCTTCCCGTGGTAGAAAGTGTGCGGCAATTTCAAAAACAGGGTCCCGCCAAAGCCGAATTCACCGAGGTGCTGCGCAGCGCAAGCGTCTTCTTCGATGGCATCGAGAGTGGCCTCATCTATAGTGAGCTTGTTGGGCTTCTGGCTCAGGCGATAAGCCCGGGAGATCTCAGTCACGAAGACCGAAGCGATAAGCTGTCCTTGGTCAACTTCATCATCACTCACTTCAATGTGCGCGAAGAGGAGATGATTACGGTTCATGCTCCCTTGACCTGTCTCGCTGCTTTGCTCATGTTGGAGGATACACGCAATTCGCAAGGTGGCGGTAACTCATCGTTGAGAGAACAAGTCCTTAGCATTGTTGTCTCTCTCCTTGAGCTGGTGCCCGATCGAGCATTTGCTGAACCAGCAATGGCCGACGCCAGTCGCAAGAAAGTGTCCGACAGCGTTTCCTCTCCGTCGGCTGCGGAGCTGCTCAAGAAAATCCAAGATTTCTATATCCACGGGCAAGGAAGCCTGGACGCATCCCCGGCGCCTTTCTCTCAAGTCGAGACTGGCGAGCTGATTCTGGATAGAGCAATCAAGTACATCGTTGACGATACGGCCGAGCAACAGCCATCATGCTCCTTGAGCATCCACATCAGAATCCTACTACTCATTTTGCTGAAAGTGCCCAAGAACTATCGGTTCGACGAGACAACTTTGGTATCTTCTCTGAAGGCCAAACTGGTGAAGAAGCGGCCGCTGCGGTTTTCAGACTTTTCTTCCATCTTGCATTTGATCACGCAGCTTCATTACGTCGAGCGAGTTTCAACATCAGAACTCTCCGAGCTAGTACATCCCTTGGTCCGGCACGCATGGTCGTATCTGTCTGCCTCTGAGCCCAAATACCATGTGGAAGCAGTCCGGTGCTTGTGGCAGCTTCAAGCAGCCCTCTCGCTGTCCCGCCGCGATGTGGAAGCTTCACTCGCAAGTATCCTGGTTGAGCAGAGTGCTGCCGATGGTGCAGATATTGGACGCGCGTTCGGCGTTCTTTGGTCTCACACCCTCCAGGATACGCCATCCGATCGTCGTGGACCCAAGATCCCTACCATTGAAGCAAAACTGGGCCAGAAGCTTAGTGCGACTGACCATTACGAGGTCATGTTAACGCGGCCTCTATTCCTTGTGCTGGATGGGTTGCTAGACGACAGGACTCAGCTCTTCATGACGGTCAAGTCGTGGCTCAACAGCATGGTTGGCATCGATAGGTAGCTGCTGTCGTTCCAAACGTTTGTGGTTGGTACTAACGTTCCCCGCAGGTTATTCCTACTCTTTGTTATCAAGTTCGCGGAAATACCTTGTCTTCGCGCGGTCGGGAGGACTGCTCATTCCGAGAAGAGTCAGCCCGAAACCCTCGTATTTACCGAAGATGACGATGTCGACCTATGCCTGTACTATCTACGGACTCTCCACCATGTTCTTGACTGCTCTGGGGAAGCTTCAAGAGCGGTACTTGTGACGAAACACCTCTCCTTTAACAATGGCGGACAGGTGCAGATTTCCAGTATGTTTTCTCTGTTTTGAGGTTCGCTCAGTTCTTCTGCTGACATTTGATGTCTCCAGCTGGTGGAGATGAGGTCGACATCACATTACAAGATTACTTTGCCAGAGTGTGCATGGCCTGCATCATGGCTGATGCTTCTGACTCTGCCAGCGACGACCTCAACACCAGGGTCTCCAAGTTGCATCGTTATGCACTAACCGTTCTCCATCATTTCCTCATAAGCCATCATGCTGCTCCTCTGTCCGATCTTCATCTCGACCAAGTCCTGATTGATAGATTGTTCAAGTCCATTGGAAGTCCCGACCCATATGTGCAAGTCCTTTTACTCGACGTCGTCTTCGACGCCCTGAAACTACAGGATGCGGTAGCGGCAGAGCTTTCGATCCCGTCAACTGCTGAAAAGCGACGCTCGAGCGCGGATCCGATGCATACAGTACGGACATCTATCTCTGCGGGTGACACAAGACCTCCTCCCATGACAATGCCACCTCAGCTGCTCAAATGCCTGCAGGCTGGCCTAAGCTCAACGAACAGCCAGTTTGTTCTGGATAGCTGGGTCTCGTTTCTCAGCAGATGTTTGCCGTTTTACTCCCAGTCCATCTTCCAGATTTTGATACCCCTCGTCGAGACGCTATGCAAACAAATCGGAGTTACGTTCTCACATTTGAAGGGCATGTTCAAAGACGATACATACGAAGTCAAGAATGAGGTCGCAACGCCGGAATCCACTCTCATTTACCTTCTCAACGCTTTGGAGCAAGTTTTGGCAAAGGCACATGATCAACTACTCGCCGAAGAAGCTCAGGCCTTGGCTCTGAAAGGTCCGGACCAGCCTCAATCTCTCTTCGGCAGCATGGTGTCGGGTGTCTTTCAATCGGATGCCCCTCAATCTCGGAGTGCCACGGCCAACGACCGCTTGACTGTCCACCTGGCCTTCCAAGACGCCGTGCGAATGTGCTTCTCCATCTGGACATGGGGACAAGGAGAAGATGCCACCACGCAGGACATTAACTCGTCCGCATCCTTCAACTACACGTCTCTAAGGATGAGGAACCGGGCAAGGCGGCTCCTGGAGCATCTCTTCACGGCGGAGACGCTAGAAAGTCTCGAGACGGTGATTGACGTTTGGAGAAATTCAACAAGCGCCGCAGAGCATGCCATGGTGTTCAACTTTCTGGCCGCTCTAGACGCCGCCAGGCCGAGACATTCAATGCCGGCACTTTTCAACTCGATATATAGCCGCACGAATCCAGCTGCCCTGGAGCCTTCCCGCAAGTCCACAATGACCATCTCCCTTCAGGACGCCGACCTGGTGGTCTTTCTGGTCGAATATGCTAGGTCGCTTGACGACGATGCCATGGATGAGATATGGCAAGACTGCTTAACGTTCCTCAAGGACCTCTTGAACAACCCATTCCCTCACCGACAGACGCTCCCTAGCCTTCTTGAGTTTGCGGCCATTTTGGGGGAGAAGGTCGACAACACCAACTTTGGAGAGCAGCGAAAGATGCGTAGGGAACTGGGCGTAAGTAAAAACTATATGCAGCTCCTTGGGATATAGTGACTGACTGCTCTCGCCTCTTTCTGGTGTAGGACCTGTTTCTACGACTCCTTACTGCTCTCTTTACGACGAGACCAACCTTTGCTGATCCAACAAGTTCTAACGGAACGTCGGGCACAAAGGCCGTCAAGGGCGAGCTGGAACGCCGTGGCACATTCCCTGCGGCTGTGGAGAGGTCTGATGATGTTGTAGCCATTCTCGCCTCCGTGGTTCCAAACCTGCCCAAGATCCTTCTTGAGCCGGATCGAGTGCTGTCGGCGGCTGGAACGATATCCACCAACGTGATTGGCCCAACGTTTCGTTCCAAGGCATTCCCCGATTCTGTTACTGCGAGTACACTGAAGCTCCTGCACGAGCTGTCGAGGCTGCAGAACAACCAGAAGACGTGGAAGAAGGATGTCGGCGACGCGTTCAACGACAGCAAGTTCTTCGCAATGAACCTGACTCTGGTTCAGAACGACTGGCTGCCGCTGCTGCGACAGTGGGCCTTGACGGATAAGGAGAGGCTACCAGAGATTGTCGGCCGCATCAGCGCACCGACGACGGCGGGCATAGTCTTTGGGGTGGGCGCGACCTCGGCCCGCCTCGAGGCTGACCGGAAGACGCAGCTCAACTTGCGGAGAGTCGCGACGCTGCTTCTTGCCTCGGCGGACGACGCCTTTGTCACGGACATTCCGGTCATCTTTGACAAAATGGTTGAGCTATTCGGGGCCACCTCGACGTCGTCACCGTCGTCGACGACGCGAGCAGAGGTGTACATGGTCATCAGGGCGCTGGTGCTCAAGGTCAGCCCCATCCACCTGGCCAGGCTGTGGCCGGTGGTCAACGCGGAGATTCACTCTGCCATATCCTCCATCGTGGCTCCGGACCACAGCACGGCCTCTGAGATTTACGTCAACTCGGCCATCCTGCAGGCCTGCAAGCTGCTCGACCTGCTCATCTGCGTCGCCCCGGACGATTTCCAGCTCCACGAGTGGCTCTTTGTGACGGACACCATCGAGGCCGTGTACCGGTCGGCGACGTACAAGCCCGTCGCCCTGGTAGACGAGATGTCCGAGGAGCTGAGCTCGACCTCGTCGACGTCGCAGCTGGCCAGCCACGACGACGCGATGACGGCGGCGCAGATGGCGACGCACAACAACGGGTCGCGCCGTCTCCCGCTGCTGGGCCGCGGCGGCATCATCAGCGACGACCTCGTGAGCTTTGAGAGGAAGGATGAGCTGGTGGCCAAGGTGCTTAGGCCGTTCTTTGCGCAGCTCAGCATCTACGCGTTTGAGTCGACGTATGCGATGGGGACGGTGGATCGGGAGGCCTGTGTGGAGGGGCTGTTGAGGGACCTTTTTGATGATCGGAGTATGGTGAAGGCTTTGTAGATGTGGTCAGGGAGATGGAAAACAATGTGCGAAGATAGAGAGGTGGATGTGAATAGATGGGCTTTATATAGACGTGGGAGTTGAGATTCTGTTCTGCTCATCTTCAATGCTTCTTTTTTGATTATGTAAAAGGAGGATTCTTTCATTATGGTTAGGGTATATTCTGTCCCCTTGCTTACCGCTTCAGCTCGAGACTTCTTCGACTATTTACATATTGGACGTGGCCCGTCAGCGACCCCTGGTATCTGAAAGACACGCAGATGAGAGTTCCCTGGCAATCCATCATGAGAACCACTCAAAAGAGAAATGTACATATAAAGAGATACGCCCTTGAAGAAAAAAAGCCAAAGGAACAATCAGATATAGCCAATTACGCCGCCATGTCGTGTATTCAAAAATGCTCCCGAAAAAAGGGAAAAGAAAAAACAAACACGAAAAGCAATGCATTCCCCCCCTCGCAAATCACACCACAGGCGGCGGCCCAATCATCCTCTCCACAACATCGAGATAAAACTGCCGGTTGACGGCGGCGCCATACTCGATGCACCTGATAAAGGGCCTCAGCTCGATGAGCAGCGACGTCAGCAGGCCGTCGGCGAAGAGCAGCTCGTAGGGGTACTTTGACGCGAGGTCGAACCAGATCTGGACGGGCGAGATCTCGGCCGGGTCGACCTCGAACTGGGCGAGGGCCCAGAGCGAGGCGATGGAGATGCCGGTGGCGGCGGGCGCGTGCCACTGGAAGGTGGGCGCCTGGGTGGTGGCCGGGTCGGCGATGCCGGCGAAGACCTGGCGGTCGGTGAAGATGGAGGGGGGCGCGGCGTTCATGAGGAGGGAGGTGGCGGTCAGGATGTGGTTGCTGGAGGGCTCGGCCTCGCCGGGGATGTGCTCGTGGAAGTCGTTGGCTTGGAAGTGGTCCCAGCAGACGTTTTCGAGGCTGTGTGTTGATTTCTCACGTGTTAGTCGGTTTGCCCTCCCCTTTTTCCTTTTCTTTTCTTTGACAATTTTCTTCTTGTTGTGTGTGGTGTTGGGTGGTGTTTGAGAAGAAGAAAACTCACGCTAATATCCAGTTGATGACAATCTGCTCTTGTTGGGGAGTCAGGGGCGGCGTCAGGGGAGGGCTCTCGAAGTTAGGCGGGCTCGTGAAGCCGTGCGTGCTGCTGCCGGCGGGAGGAGGAGGGTTGTTGATGGTGAAGCAGGGCGTGCCCAGCAGGTCGTTGATGCCCAGTGACACGGTGATGTCGTCGAGGTTGATGTGGCCAAACATTTCCTGCTCGTTGGACGTCGAGGGCATCAGGGGCTGCTGCTGGTTCAGGTCCAGGTCCGACAGCTGGCCGCCCGCGGCGAGCCATTCCTGGGCGTCGAGCTCGGACACGCCGCCGCCGAGGCGCGTGCCGGGGGAGCCCGTGGTGGAAAAGTAGGTCGAGTCGGCGTGTGTGAAGGAGGGCTGCTGCTGCTGCTGGGGCATCACGGGCTCGGTCCCCCGGATGAGGTCTCGGATGGTGTCGTTCTCCTTGCGCATCTGCGACGTCTCCTGCTGGGTCTGGTTGATGAGGTCCCGCAGCTGGGACACGTCCAGCTCGAGCTGCTTGACGTAGTTTGCCTTTCGCTGGCGGTGCTGGATCTGGGCCTTGCGGACCTGGGCGCGTCGGATCTGGGCCTTGTCTTTGGCGGCGGCGGCGTCGTCGCCCGTGGCCGTGGGTTCGTCTGCTGCGGATCGCGGTCTCTGTTCAGCCTCCATCGTCTTCTTCTTCGTCGTCTTCTTCCTGCGGCTTGTCCTGGCCCACGACCGTCCCGGCTCTCGAGACGATGACGAGACACGGCTGAGAAAAGGCATGACGTGTAGAAAAGAAAAGAAGAAGGGAAAAAAGCAAAAGCGGTATATGGTATAGAGATAGTAGTATAGAGCTGAGGCTGAAAGATTCCAAACTTTTTGTGGGACTTGGCCGTCACGGATGGAATCAAAGCCAGAAGCAAGGCAAGATGAGCTAAACGATGGCAGATGAAGATGCAATCCTGTGAGGCTGAGTTTCGTGCGAGCGACTTGCTCGTCTTAAGAAGGCGGATGATCCATCGGGGCAAGTTGTGCGGAGGGAGGAAGAGGAGGAGAAAAGATTCATCATGGCCAGCACCAGCCATCGGCCGCTTCCCGCATCGAATAATTCCAAATCGCCCAAATCAACACGAAGCAGCTTTGCTTCCTCAGACGCCAACAGCCGGTTGACGAGGCCGGCAGACAGACAGATCGGACAGACAGACAGATAGATGGGCGACCAGGCATATCAGACCGATAGCCCGCGTCACATCGTAGCACTCGCTCAGCTTTGCCTGTAATCAACCGTTGCGTCAACCCTCGGACCCCCAAGGAAGATTCACACATCTTGCCTCCAAAATTCCCCAATATGCACGATACACGGTCGCCTTCCCGGGCACTTGCTTTTAGCGCGCCTTGGTCCCCAATCGAGCCGCCACGGGACGAAGCTGAAAAAAAAAAAAAATGAGGAATCATTGATCGAAAAGGGGGGTGTTGCGTTGCAAGACCCCAAGACAGGGACAAACTCTCCAAACCATGGAAACAAAACTGGGCAAGTGGAGAGAAAAGACGGGGGGGAGCAGCGCGTGGAATCCAGGAAAAGAAGCGGGAAATAGGAAAAAAAAAAAAAAAAAAAAAGGTCGAATTGAAGACTGAAAAAACTCACCGGCATCCTGATCTGGATTCTGATCGGGAGATCCATCTTGTTGTTGTTCGGCTCCTCCTCCTCCTTCAACGTCGTCTTGCGTCTCCGCCTTCTTGCCCTTTCCCTTCTTCTTCTGGCCGTCTCCCTCGACGTCCTTTTCCTTTTGCTTGACTCGCTTCCAGAAGTTGGTGAACGAGGGCCGCTCAGAAGACTCGCCACCTTCACCTCCTGCGTCCGCCATTGTTTCTCAACTCTCACAACTCGGAAACTGGATGGTGTTGAAGAGCGATTGGTTGCCCGTCACATGCAACTCGGGAGAAGACTAAATTGAATCCCGACAAGGAAAAGAAAAATGAAAAAGAATATGAGAACAAGTATTAATCGATGGGCGTCTCAAAGTGGGAGGAGTTCAAGGGATAGTCAGCCCTTTTTCTTGTGCAGATGCCCCGTCGTTTATCTCCGGACTGGTGGACTTTAGTTGCAGTTCTTCTGGACAAGTTCTTTCTCAAGGATCTGTAAGGCAGTGAGGAATTCAGCTACTGCGCCGCCGCGGAAAATAGTACGTCAGCGCTCCTCCTAGACTATCTCGCGTATTCCCACACTACTTGTATCTCTTTACAAGCCCAGCAACTGGAGAAAAGAGACAAAAGAGAGGCACACACAGTGACTAATCAATCTTCTTCTTCCAGAAACACCTCGAACGGTAAGAATGTGCATAGACACAGTTGACAATTATGAAGAGCCTGATGAAGAGAGAATTGCTAAACTCTTGCTAATACTGCCTTACCTAGGAGAAGGAACTGGGCTGAGGGCTGATGTGGTCATCATTTCGCCGTCTGCTTACCTTATCATTAGCACACAAGCTCTCATACCTATCTGGGCAATAGGTGTCAATTACAGCACAACGTCCAATAGATAGTTGGTATCTTTTTGCGGTTCCGGACGGAAGTCGCGCTCAATTACCGGGACCTGTTGTACAGGGTACTTGATTCCACTCCGAATTAAACGCGGTTGGGTCATAGACTAGATAGAACGGCTCTCTTCAGCGGGTTGGCTGTTAGGCGAGCTTACCTACTTGTTGGTAGAAGCTGAAGATTCAACATTGGCGGCTCTGAACTAGAAGCTAAAGATGCTGCAGATTGACAAGTACCGGGTACGGCCTCGGAAAGCGGAGCAAGGGGCCAAGGTTTCTGATAAAAATGCCGATGAATGAGCCCAAATATTCCCGTCAATGAGAATCCGATCCGTTCAGCTCGGAATATATAAATAAACCCACAAGACCCATTGACCCAATGAGACCCCCATTCGCTAAACAATAGTCTACATACAGACAAACCGGCATGTGAAACGGCATAGTATCGGCATAAGGCAAAAAGGGAACCGAAACTGAAATCGTACGCGTACCAGCTTCTGCAACCGTCGGGACTTGTTTGCCGATCGCAACCAACTACTAGGGAATACTACAGAGTATGTAATCCTTCCGTAAGATGCGACAACAACTATAAGTACCTTAGGTATGCATCGTCTCGTGCACATGGGGGTTACATTGGTTGGCATAGTATCTGAAAGGCATGCTGGACAGTATTTGAAAGAACATGCTGGACAGTATTCGAAAGGACTTGCTAGGCAGTATCTGAATGACATGCATAGGTAGGAAAGACGCACGATAAACAAAGGTGCATCGCTTCGTGATTTCAAATAACAAAAGGGGGGAGTGGTATTCGTAACCCCTCTGGTCATGTCTCGGACCGCTGGCTGCTACTCGTATATCATCAGCATGCAAGTATTTGAAATACTTACAAGTCCCCGATTCCATGCCCGCCCGTCCTGTCCTCCGTGAGTCCAGAACCACGGCAAAAAGACAATGCAGCTCGAGTAATTACCACTCGCGCTCAATACCAACAACCACCACATCGAGAAACAGGCGCATATTCAGCAGTTCAGTCGACATCAATTCAACCCCATTCTCGTTCCAATACATAACGTCAACAGACTATAAGCCGCCAACTAAAACAGATAGCAAAAAAGCAAACGTTCCTTTTGCCAACTCCTCGCTGAGAAAAAAAAAAAAACCGAACGGCAGGTAAATGCAAAGAGATCCAAGCCTCGTGCCACGATAAGATGGCAGCACAAACAAAAGGAACCAGATGCCGACCCTTAAAGCCCAAAAACACTTTTTCGCACACAAGTGCAATCCCGCTCCCTCCCCTTATCTACCCTGGCCAACCTTAGATTGATGCCGTAGATAAAAGCCGAAAGAGATGAAAAGGAATTCCAAATATCGAACCCCATCTGTCGTATCGTGTGGTAGTCTGGGTATATCCCGCGTCTCCCCGTATATCGTAGTCTTGAAATTATTCAGATTCGTTGCCGTCGCTATCGGTGGCGGTACCTTCTTCAAGCTCCTCATCTTCCTCGTCCTCGTCCGATTCGCTGTCCTCGTCATCCTCTGCATTCAAGCCTGGAATCGCTTTCCAGTGGACGTAGTCATTCACCAGCCAGCGTTTGCTCACTGGCAGCTGGTATGGGTCGAATGGGAAGTAGGGGTCCAGTTGGTGAAAGCTCTCCTCTTGAGTGTCGAAGCCAGAATCTCGCAGCGCGCCTCCAGTAGAGTACGTTGATGACAGAAACTGCGTCAATCGGATGCGTTTGTTGCCCTCAATCAGCGGGTAAGCGTACATAAAGTTGAGTCGGTGCGCCAGCTTGGCAAACTCCTCCACAATGACCGGTGCGCAGACCTTGAGGGGGTTGAGCTTGCCAAAGATGTGCGTAGACAGATCCTTTCGCGAGGTGCCGATCCACTCAAGATCCTGGCCGATATAGGATGCCGGGTCTTCGGGGTCGACAAACTCGGGGGCAGAAACCACCAGGTCTTGCCAGCGGAAGCAAAAGATGTAGAGGGTGGCCTGCACGAGGCTGTAGTAGGGATGGAACCGCTTGAGATCTGGGCCGCGGCAGATGGGCTCGTACTTCCTTCGGTACTGGTCGAGGTGGTGGATCAGAAGCATGAAGATGGTGCGCACGAGGCTGCGCGGCACGAGTGCGCCTCGAGCGACGAAGCTTGCGAGGTAGGCGGCGGCGGCCTGCTTCAGGATATTCGGCGTGTTGCTCTGGAAGGCGCTGGCAATCAGCTGGCCGCAGAAGGCGTCGGTCAGCCGCTCGTGCTGCTGAGCGAAGTGGAAGATGAGGAATTGCGTGTGTCGCGATTTATACGTCGGCAGAACCATCTGGTCAAACTCGCGCAGGATCGTGACAAACATGTCAAACGCCTTATCCGAGCCAGGGTTCGCGAAATGCGGCGTGTACACTTCGAAAAGGGTATCAAGCATCGAGTCCATCTTCTCCACGCTCTCCTTCAGAGTCTTGATTCGGACGGCGTCTTGGTCGTAGTCAGCATCGTCGCTATCAACGGATTCGGTATCACTGTCATCGTCTGCTTCGTCTTCCCAGCCTATGGCTTCTTGTTGAGGGTTCTCTGCGCGAAGCGCGTACATGACGGCGGCAGTGATGTCGTCATCCGTGTCTTCCAGATCTAGCTGCATCTGCGAGTCAATCTTAACGACACGATCCAGGATCATGTCAAAAATGTCCTCCTGGAGGTCCGGCACGTAGTCCTTGACCCGCAGGAGGTTGTGGACGTAGGCCATGTGGACTCTCATTGAGTCGTCTAAGAACGGAAACTTGTTTCTAAGCAGGTTCTCCAGGACGGAAGCGGCGGAGGGAAACATCTTGAGGAGGTATTGAAGAGCCGAATGCAGCCTGTCGCGCATCGTGTCGCGGCTGATCTCGGGAAAGTCGGGGACTAGCCACGCGGACGGCCGGCTGTCGTGGAACTTGTCCACAATCATGGCCAGGACTTGGTTGAGGTAAGAGCCCTGCGCGCTGACCAGGGCGGCGAGAAAGTGCGTAAAGACCTTGACAAAGGCCGCGTCGCGTCCCAGCCAGGAGCAGTTGAGGATGACCTTGACCAGGCCGTTGCAGTCCTTGCTCTTCAGGATGGGGATGCAGCCCGTCAGGGCCATGAGGTAGACCTGCAGCTCGTGCGGCTTGACCGTGTCGTCCTCCTCTCCCACCACCGGCGGCAAGTATCGCTTCTTGTCGTTGGCGAACATCTCCTTCAATCCGTCGTATTGGCCATCGTCTCCCCGCAGGTGGGCCTCGAGCGCCATCCGCACTTCCAGCTTGATCTCGTCCATCGTTCGTCGGCCAACCTCGTACGTCACATTCTTGATCTCGTCGAACAGCACCTTGCGCCGTTTGGTGGGCGTCTCCTGGGCCTCGGCGCCCTCGCTGAGCAGGGGATGCTGGTCTTTCCTGCGGCCGAGTGCAGAAGCAGGCTTGAGTATGGACTTGACAGGAGTGGTGCCTCGAGGCAAAGTCCCGGGAAGGCTTCTGGGAGTCGAGGTCAACATTCGAAAGACGGCGATGTCGAGATTCGGCGGCGACACGATGAGGAGCGAAGCGGGCGATGCTGGCGAGATTGGGAGGGCGATTATCGTGCCGTTCGTTCACGGCAGTGCAGCAAAGGCAAGGCAAAAAGGCTGGTTTCTGCTGTCGCCCACAGCCTTCATAATACTCAAGCCGCGCAGCTCGTCTTCTTTAGAAATGATGTAATGCAATGATTTTCTCGAAAAGGCGCAAGCGCATGACTCGAACTCGAAACCGTAAAAGTATGAAATGACCGTTCAGCTGAGAAATGGGATGGATGATGCTGAAGGAAAGTGAAAGGCCGAGTCAACCATGGCACAAAACAAACGTCAGGTTATGCGCGGGCGGGCATGGATCTTTTTTTTTCTTTGGTGCACTTTCTGAAGAGGCGCTCAGGGAAGATTTTCGGTGGGGACCCCGCACGTGCCTCCTCTACCAAGTCGGCTTAGGCAGCACCGAGCGGTCCGTGCGCCCTGCGGAATATCTTTGTGCCGTTGCGACGCTTCGCTTCTCGTCACAAGTCGTGTTACAGCTGTGAAGGATCAATGTCGGATCAACAACGTCTGCCTTCGACCAAGTGCCCAGCTGGTCGTCACTGTTCAACCTCCGTCTGACTCAGGCCTATTCCTTTAAGTGAAATTCTCCAAATTTGCATCCAATGAGGCCCCCCTGACGCCACCCTGCTGCGATATCACTTGACCATGCAAGAGTCATTCGGTGTTCACATAAAGGGGCCGCAAGTGGCTGCATAGACTGCCTTTGTGCTTTTACAGTGGGATGGGCATGTCATCAGTTCGTATAGCAACTCACTTCTCGACAGTAGCAATGGTCACTTCTTGTGAGTTGCTATCAGTATTGGAAACGTGTGATCTCAGTCGGACATACTCGTAGAAACGCCTTAGGAGCACCGGGACTGGTATATAGTAGTATAAGGTATAGTAGACTCGAATAATCCAACTCCGTAACCCACAGTCTGGACCCCATGCATATCCGTTATCCTGCTAGGCATAGTCCTGAATCCTTTCTGCAAATAGATGTGCCGCGCATCCTGGGCCAACCCGTGAAGTGACAGGTGAAGCTCTCAGGAGGGGCCTACCTGTCTGATCAAGCATCTGTACTGGACAAAGCCCAAGCACGAAAGAAACAAAGGAGATAAAGAAAAGAAATGAAGCGGCGCACTCACACAAGAGAGAATGGAGCTATCCATTGCCCTTTCTCTCATTGTTGTCCCATCCCTTGCAGCTTCAGGTAAACCGAAATGCCCTAATCCCAATTCAAACAATCAAACAATCTGCGCCAATATCTCTACACGTGGAGAAGCGAGCCGAGAGCCATCTTGGCCTGACAGGGAAGCGGTATCGAAAGGGTTTGGCAATAGTAGTTCGATCGAGCTCACGAAATGGTGATTCCCGAGGGGGAAGATAGGTCGTCGTCTGTAGTCGGCCAACGCTGGCGCTCCGCCAACTAATCGATGACCAGCTAATAGCTCTCCCCAGCACCAGCTCCGTTGTGACTAGCATGAGAAGTGTACATGTAGTTCGGCTCGGCACCGCCTTCGGCGGGATTCGCTCCTTCGGGCTGTGCATATTCGGGACCGGTTGTGCCAGGCTCAGTCTTTTCGCCGGGGATCATGGCATTCCCCCAGGTGGTGTTGTTCTCCAACACGCGGTCACGGTTCGACTGATTTTGTTGCTAGTTTCACATCGCCTCGTCAGTCGTGTTCCACCAGAAGAGAAGCAATATCCAGGTTTCTTCCTTACCTCGCGGTACTTTGACAGGTACACCTTAAGAGCCTCCGCGTAGTTCTCGAACCCCAGAGACGTCATGGCGAATAAAATATCCTCCCCATTGACCGTCTTGCGCTTTTCCTGTTGGCATTTTTCGGAAGCTGACAAAATCTGTCAGCATATGCAGCGGACAATCCATGAGAAACATTCGAAATTGGCCTACCTTCGCTGGTGATGAAGGAGATGAACTCGCTAACACACTCCTGCATGCACTCCTTGGCTTCCTTGGCTATTTTGGCATTGTCCGGAAGGGCATTCTTCATGATTCGAGCAACTGGAGCAAAGTTGCGAATGTTAGCATCGAGCTCATCGGCTTTGTCGGCCTTGGAGGCGCGCGGCGGCGTCTCCTGCACATTGGGGAACAATTGGTGAGACATGGGAATATATGCGAGGCTGAGAAGGGCGAGCAGCTCCCACGCATGCGAGGGCAAACAGGCAAATCACGACTCGACAAACGGCTCCAGAGGGGGGACGACGAGGACATACCATTGGCTATAGGCAACCACCGGTCTTGCTCCTTGACACCTTCAAACTCGTAGCCAGTCCCTCCGGCCGAGTGGGGTTCCTGGTTATCATTCATTTGTCCTTCCTCGTCGGGTGACTGTGCACCTTGGTCGACATCCTTTGGAGGAGATTGAGGGGAGTCGGACATATTTGGCTACCTGCAGCGGCTGCTAGCGTCTTTTGTAGAATCTTCGGGTTGGCACAGCTTCGGCAGGTTTCGCGATGATGTGTCGCCCTGGCCACGTCGCAAGAGGTAGGGTTTGCCCGATTCGTCCAAGAGGGGCGTGTGTGCAGACGTTGCGAAAGTCTGCGTCAATCGTGACAGGCGCGAGGGATCTAGGACGCCGCTGGCTGGGTCTGCCCTGGCTGGGGACGACGCAGGACCGATGACGCCCGCTTGGCGTATGTACGTATGGGCTGGCAAGCCGGTTGGGAGAGAAAATCCCTGGTTGGAGGAGGGGGAATAGCAGGACTGGAGAGGGGGAGGGGTGTCCGAGAAAAAAAGGGTCCGCAGTCGCAAAGAGCTCCCAGACGATGCGATTGGGGAGGATGGAGCAGGACCAGCAGATTCGTCCCAGCAGCGCTCCCACCAAAAGGGCGTGAGCGGATCAAGCAGAGCAGCAACAAGCAATAAGAAGCACCAGCTCTCGTCTCAGCTGCTGACGGTCCCTCTGGCTACGGCAATGGCCAGGCAGACTCGCGGAATCACAGCCCGGGGGCGACGGCGACTGAGGTCGACGGGGGTGCGTCTTGGACAGCAGATTGGACGGCAAGACGAGGCCGTCGCGCGCAGAGCAAACGGCTGTGGTCTGTGGTCTGGCTTCGGGCACGGATTGCGGTGGCGCGGCCAAAGTTACACGGTCGCGCAGGGTTCCGGGTCGTAGGGCGAGGGCTAGCTCACGGTCAGAACAAAGAAGAGGCATTCGCTGGGGGGGGAAGGGGAGTCTGGGAAGGGTCTCACGAGGGCGTAGGTCTTGCGCTGGTTTGCGTCTGCGTCTGCGTCTTGCTGCGGCTGGCGTGGGTGCATAAGTGTGAATGTGGATGTGGAGTGCAAAAGAGGACGACGAGGCAGCAGAGCTCAGCACGAGGCTAGTGGTGGCCTGGCAGCGCGCTGGTGTCGGCCGAGATAACAGCGGGGACCTGGCGGGCAGGTCGCGCGGTACTTGTCGCCGCTGGGGCGGTACCACGGCCGCGCTGGTGGATGGGCAGCGCTGCAGTGACAGCCCTCTGCAGGTTTATCGATAGCGGGGTGGGAGCAGGGCGTCGAGGTACTGCGTCATGGTGATTGTGTGGCGAGGTACCCAGCATTCCGGATGCGCAGCCAGCATGACGGCTGCTTGTTGGCCAGCAGCAGCACGACCTTGGGCTGCTCGATCTGCACTAGAAGCGCGGGTATCTGGAGCTGAGCTGCCAAGTACCGGGTGACTTGCGAGCTTGGTAGCGCTCAATATGGATGAGCTCTGGGCGACCATCAGGCGCTACCTGTACCTTGATGCAATGCGTTGATGTCGAGGGCCAGCTCACGGAGCATATGGGTGTAATTACTACAAATGCTCGACATCATAATGAGCGATACCTACTGCTGTTGGCACGAATACCAGTCTTGACAACCAGCTGCAATGTCTGCATCATGCTATTCCATCAATGTTTTGTTGCCATGGTACCAGAGTGTGTAAGGTAAGGTCTCGTAGAGTAGAGCTCGTAGTCTAGAGCCCGCAGCTTGGCAGCAGCTGTACGATACATACAATGCCCCCATGGAGTTGAGTGATCAGCATTCCCCAACCACGAGGAATCCCAATGGAAAAATAAAGAACAAAGCCACGACAAAGCGGCCCACCGCACATGTATGCGCTCTATCACCAGACCACACACCCCGGCTTGCCATGCTGCTGGTGCTGCTTTCGACTGTCCCATGTGAGCCTCTAGCCATGGCCAACATCACCCTACACTGAATAATCCTCGTCTCAAGTGCGTCTTCTTGCCGGGCTAAAGCTCCCAAGGAGGGTGGCCGGGATGGTCGTACCAAGGCATTGTCAGAGGCGGTGTGTTACAGCAGCTATCCGCGGTGTCCTTCATGGTGTCGTCAGCTCTAGATCCCTTCGAATACGCGGTGCCTTTTTGTTGGGATTCTACTTTGCAGCAGGAGGAGACAAGGCATGGGCATCGCGAGAAGATGAAAGCTGTCGTCTAGACTTCAAGAACCCTCACCCCTGCCACCGGTATGTGCCGCAAGAAAAAACCCCTTGTTCCAGCTACCCTGGGCTGCGGTATTCCGTGATACGGCCAGCCTCGTGGTTGTGACGTCGTCGTCGCAAGCGAAACTGCACGCCAGCCCACGACGACGGTACCGGGATGGTGGGCTACTGCAGTTGCTCATTTGACAATGCATCGCAGGGCCAGAGGGCTAAGGCAAGCCTCTTCTTCCTCAGGAACCCGGTGGCTGAAAAGGTCGGGCCCCCAAAAAAAGGGTGCGAAGGTGCCAACCCATTGGGCCGCATTCATGTTCCCATGTCAGCCCAGTGGTTGGCTGGTGACCGACGCCGAGAGGCCCACGAACCACGGCCTGGCTCTCGACAAACGCCCGGGCATTGGGCAGTTGTTTGGGCCAATGGTGATGCTTCCGGTGCGAAAAGCTCCGTCCGTTGGTTCTTTGTTCGGCCTTCGCTTGAGGTACAGATCCGCAAGGGACGGCTACATGCATTCCGTGGTAACCTCTGATAGAGCGGCACTTTGCTGTGACGAAGCACTTTGAAACCGATGCCTCTATGCCCTTCCATACCGCAGGCCGATTGGGTAGCGAGCCCAAATTGAACGTCCCTGGCCCTCCGTCCTCCCCATGTCCCTGCACGTACTTGTAGCTCGACAGGAGGATGGCGGGCTTGCTTGATGGAGGGATGGATGCTGAGCTGGCTTGAAGCCCAGCAGCACCCAGCTTGGGCATGAAACACGAGCATCCGGCTTCGACCTTCGTGTTCTCGATGTGTGCAAGCACCCTGCCTACCATCACCACCCACACACTCATCGTTGGGGTCGGATGCTGCAGGCAAGCTAAGCCCATTTGATGGATAGTAGCCTTCTTGCGCATGCATGCGTGGTATGGGCCATCTTTCAACGATTTGCGTCTGCCAGGCCTGTGCGTGTCAGAAAGTCATAGAGAGACGATGCAAACATTACTCGGCAGGAGATGCCTCCAGGCTTCGTTGGCTCGCTGCATGACACTTGCGAGCCAATGCAGACCGGCGGTATGTGCCATCTTTGTTACTGAGATGGGCCGCAACACTCGTACAAAGAAGCACTAGTACCCCGAGCACCCAGAGGTTGTAGTTCGCAGCAATCGCTTCATGTCAGTAGCCGCTACTAGTTACTTAGTAGCCTCTCGTGGTCGTTCAAGGCCCATGAGTTGTCACTTAGTCCCTGTGAGTTGCATGCCTAGCGGCCTCATGGCCCCCTTCATTTGCATCTGGGCGTCTTCGTCCCACCCCGGCTTGGCGACGTAACATTCCAGAAACCATTCGACGCTTCTATCATCGGGAAATGGCTTGGGACGGGGTGTCACGAGCAAACATACGAGCGACGAGAAGGGAGGAAGGGGGTGAACTAAGAGGCAACACCCCCACTCTCGCATCAAGCCCCATTGACGGACGCCCTGCGGATGGTGGTTTCCTGTATGTCCTCTAGACAGATAGTATCATCATCCGATTTGTGTGATTTCCTTAATATCGAGAGATTGCTGGAGGGGCGGTGCAACCCTGGAAGCCGTTTGATGAGGACGCTGTCATTGTGACTTGCCACTTGGCAGCGAGACGCCTCGCCTCAGGGGCACTGCGGCATCTGCATTGGTGACGAAATCTCCGAGAGGCACGGCACATGCGGCAGCGAATCCTCGCTCGGGCAGCCTCTGCAAGCTCAGGATCGGTGATGAGCATCCTCATCGAGGTAATATATGTATAGTGCGGCTGACGCCGGCGCGGGATTCCGATTGGAGCTGCTAGTCATGTAAAGTGATTTGTACGCATCCGAACTTGCCCTGATACGCTCCAGGTTGAGGACCCAACAGATGGACACCTATCAGCCATGCATGCAAGGCACACGGAACCACACGAATAGCCCCTGCCTTCGTTTGCTGTAATCAAATGAAACCATGTGTTGCGGATGTGTCCTGAAGTGCAGATACGGCAGAGTGGAGGCTGCAGGCGGTTGGGCATGAGACGCCATCAGCACAGGATGAATTCCGAGCGGTTGAACAGCCAGGCATGAAGGATCGTTTGAACGCCAAGAACTTGTTTCTGCATCGTCGAGGCGTGTGGCCACGTATCGCAAAATGCGTGGCATAGAACACCTTTGCCTTGACCAAGAATTCAGTATGTCAACCGCGCAAGTGGGTGGAGTATTCGAGGCTGAAGTAGATGGAAGGATCCGGACACTCTGTGAATCATAATGATATTTTCATCTTTTTTTTTCTCTATGATGTATTAGATGTGACTGCAGTGCCTCACTGTTGTACTACCTGGACGTTATTCTTCTTCTGTTGGATTGTAAGTCGAGGTTAGCTGCCGCTGCCAGCTGGTCCTTGGGAAAGGCAAGTTGCCTCTGGAGAGGGGGGATACGGACCTTCCACTTGTCAAGCTCATCCTGCTTGTTCTTGTATTGCTTGACCAGGTCATCAAGGACCTTCTTGAGTCCCTCCTGGTTCGTCTTCAGCGCCGGCACCACATCCTTGACTGTCCTCTCCACGAGCACGCCGTTGATCAAACGGAAACACTTTCGATCCCCCGAAAGCGGCTCCAAAGTTTCCAGCACAAGCCTGGAATAGAGTCCGGATTAGCGGTGTGATTCACAGGGTTGCGGTGAGGCTGAAAATGTGCGGCATGGACAGGGAAGACGCGAGACATGGCTTGAGAGAGCGCGGGGGTTCAATGTTAAGTGAGAGGAGAGGAGAAAGGGAGCAAAAAGACGAACTTGTGCTCCTCTGCCTCTTGCTCAATATCACCAATCTTTGAGGCAATCTGCTGCAGCGTGTTTTTGTAGTTTGAGTAAGTTGCTTGGAGATCTGGGACGGCGATTAGCATATGAAGATGAGACGGCAAAAGGGATGAGGCTCAGGCGGGGGAAACCGTGCCCAGGTGAAGGCCGTCTTACCCTGCTGCTTCTTAGCAGAAACCTGCTGTGATGATGACATGATTGCTGCTCTAAGAGAGATACTCAGAGACGCTATCAGAGAGAGGCCCGCTATCCCTGTGAACGGTCAACTGTTGGAGATGTCGAGGCAGAGTTTCTGTGGCGCCGCTGTTGCTGTCTGCAGCTGTTGAGCGTCGGTTGATTTCCGGCACTGTGGGCGGCAGCTGCAATGTGCTTGTACCTGGTACAGTGCATTTAGCGGAAGACCCCCGCTAAATTCGACCACTAGAACGGCCCAAGCTTTTCTCGATGCAGTTGAGGCATCTGCTGATCAAAGAATCCATTAATCCATCTCTCTTCCATTGACTCGGACGAACTCTACAATCCACCAAGCCTGAGCGTCACACAAGCGACCGAAAATGCATCCTCACCTGCACACACAGAATGCCATGGGTAGGTCCAATGCTCCTCAAGCGCATCACTCTCCTTCCAATGAGCTAACAGAGAACATCCAGCATGCCAGGAAGTCATCGCCGCTCTCGAAGAATGCCATGCGCAAGGCTTCATGCACAAGGCCTCAGGCGCCTGTAACGATGCCAAGATCCTGGTCGACAAGTGTCTTAAACAGCAGCGCTCCAAAACGCAAGAGGGGAACCGGGCCGCCGCGAGAGCGAAACGTGATCGAATCAAGGAGGAGCAGCGAGCGCTGGGCCTGTGAAAGCCACTCGGATACCCTAACGCCAGTTCTCGACTCATTCTTTCTTTCTCGATTCCTTCACATCTTCTTGTACAATATTACCATGTTACATCATTCTGGGGCCCGGCGTTGGATCTGAAAATAGTCGCCAGGAGGTCATGGCGACGTGTACATATACTTTTCAATTTGTTGGGGCGCAAAGGAGGGCCTATGGATTTAAACACGGCTTGAAAGAAACCTGGGCTCGACTGTCAAGCAGCTCGAGATTCAACAAATGAATTTGATCAATATATACAGATGCAGCACCACATTTGTCCATTTAGGCCCTGCGCAGCGCAGAACCAAAGGTGAGAAGACCATAGGTCGACAGGACGCTGAGGAAAATAGGCACGGGCTTCTTGAGGCGGATCGCGCGAGGGATAGACGAAGCTCCCAAAACCGCCGAAGCAAGAAGGCTCAGCTCAACGCCGTAAGGCTGGCCGTTGGCGATGCGATATCCGCCGAGGCCATCTTAGAGGACACGTCAGTTTGCGAACACGCCAAGCTTGTTGCGGAGCTGGAATCATGGGGAAATTACATACACAAGAAGCCGACCAAGAATCCAGCTGCAATTGAGGGAACAGAGCCAGTTCTAGCATAGCCCACGGCGCCGCCTCCGGCCGTGAGAGCCGCGAGGACAAAGGAGGCATTCGACAGCGAGGAGTTTGGTGTGGACTGTTGCGATGAGGTCAGTCGATTGTCAGTTTGCGCCCCCGCCAAAGTGCCGGAGTCGCGATGCGCTTGCGCGCCATTCGACGTACCATTATGATTGCTATCAACTGTTCTTTGAGTAGCTGCGGATTTGAGCTTTTCTGATACTAATGTCGCTTGAAGATTAGCTTTGTGTTTATTGTTCGCGACGAGAGAAGTTGTTGTCATACCAAGTTCTGAGCTCATTCGGCGCTCGGAACCGAATGAGGCCGGATATAGACTGACGTGATGAACGGAGGATGCAAAGTGGGGTCTTCAGTGCCCCCCAGATTCGCGAGCCAATCACAGCTCGCCGACCTGTTTGGAGCTTTCGTGGCCGCAATTGTACCAAAGTACCGATCAGACAGGCCAAGGGCCTCCAAGCATCGATAGCATCACCAGCTTCGACCTCTCACAGACCAAACATACCCGACGACACCAATCGCCCGCCATGGCCCCCAAGAAGAACGCAGCGCAACCAGCGCCCTCAGCTGCCGCGACCACCCAGGCCAGCACCACCGCCGCGGGCTCCGTCCCAGCATCGTCGCCCATTTCCGCGCCAGCAGCAGCCAAGAACGCCCCGGCCAACTGGGACAAGGTGCTGCAGAACATTTACCAGTATTACATGAAGGAGACGCCGCAGCGGACGAAGCTCATCGACGTGTTCCTCGTCTTCATCGCCGTTGTCGGCGCACTGCAGTTCCTCTACTGCATCTTGGCGGGCAACTACGTGCGTTTTTCATCCCGGTGATTCTCTGAAAGAATCTGGGAGCTTTGGGAACATTGGGGCTCTTGCTGGGCATACAATGCTAACCTTGTGTTCGCAGCCGTTCAATGCCTTTCTTTCGGGCTTCGGAGCAACTGTTGGCCAATTTGTCCTGACGAGTTCGTGATTTCGATGTGTATTCCCCCAGCTATTCTCGCTTGCAGCGCCTCTAACCCGAAGCTTTCTCCAGTCTCACTGCGTATCCAAACGACGGCCGCGAACAAGAGCGAATTTCCAGAGGTATCGCCTGAACGGTACGAATTCACACAACCGGCGAACGCTGAATATCGAACAATTGCCCGTGTCTCTATCATGCTAACTGGCTGGCCGCAGAGCATTTGCCGATTACGTCGTCTGCAGTCTGATTCTACATTTTTTCTGTGTCAACTTCATCAACTAAACGAGTCCAACAAAAAGAGAAGAGGAGTGGTGGAATGGCAGTCTTGATAGAGCGCAAGACTTGAACCGTCATGTTACAGTGTGGTTCCCTCGATCAGCTTCTTAGAGGGAGGGTCATAAGGCAAAAAGAAACTTGGTCCCAAGCAAAAGAAAGCAAGCAATTCATTTGAAAGAGCAATAGTTCGCGTGTATATGAGGACATTGGTCTTGGCCCATTAAGCTGGTCTCGATCAATTCACTTGTTCTTGGAGAGATGGCCGTGATATTCCGGTCCACGTAACCTCTTCATAATTCCTCATCTTGATGCCGTCAATTATTCTTGTCCATTCGCCTCGCATTAGCTACACATACCTAAAGTTTAACTTTACCAGTCGCCTAATTACCAAAAGATCCCACGAAGCATTATTCGTCTCATGCCCCGCCTTCATCCACTGCGCCTTCTTTGTGCTCAGCTTTTGGAGGACCGCTGGCGCCTTTGGGGGGCGGAGGTACACCAGTCCCCTTGCTCTTAGGTGCATTATCCAGTGCCAAACTCTTCTGTGTCTCCTCCTTGAAGTAGTCGTCCATGAAGTCGGTCGTCGCATGGCGCTCTTTCTTCTTCCCTCCTCGAGGCGTGCCACCGCGCGGAGGCGCGCTCGCTGGCGTTGGACTGACGATTTGGGCGGGCACGAGGAAGTCCTCGCCTGTTGGTGGCGGCGCCGGAGAGCTTGCCTGCGCTGAGATGTATTCGCCTCCGCTCTTCTCATTGAAGTCGCCGTCAAACATCGTCTCGCCAGGGGCGTTGACAGGTTCGCTCAACGGAGCCGGTAGCCGATGCAGCGCTCCATACCCCAACGTGCATCCCAAGGCTCCATCTCCGCCCCAGCCTCGGCTGGGCTGTATCGTGACTTCGCGCGAGACGTTGTACTCGTTGTTGTATACGTATAATCGCAGGGGTCGCCCGATGAAGTCTTCCACGAGCTCGCCCAGAGCGCTTTCGCCGTTTAAGGCGCCTTCTGGGCTGCCGAGGATGTAGTCGCTATACGGTAACAGTCCGGCGAGGTCGGCGGGCGAATTAGCCTGCACATCAAGGACGTGCCAGACGTTGGCGGCAAGAGAAATAGGCGCGTACTGCAGAGAAAGCCCGAGCGCTGCAGTGTCTGCGGGAACGGGAATATGCATTTCTCTTATGCGTTGGCCCTGTCTGATGTCAGATTACGTTCTGGTCAGCTCCTATCAAGCTTCTCCTCGAATGCACCTTTGCGCTCCATAATCCAAATGTCACAGTTCCACCGGCGCAGTTCTGCACCTCTTGCGCGAAAAGAGTCGGGTCGGGATTATCCTGCACCAATCTTAGCACCAGGTCGCCTGCTAGTCGCACAGGGCATTCGCATGTACAATTGGCCTTCCATTGATTCCAACAATGTAATCGAACCAGGGCTCGATTGGCAGCTCGAGGTTCGTGTTCCGCAGGACCTGGAAGCCGAACGAGTCGCGGTCGTGTTGACGTTGCGGGGCGTCGCCGTCCAGGCGGGACATGAAGCGGTTGAGTGCGTTGAACATGGTCGCTGGGAGTCGCCCCGCTGCTGTGCGAGGCCGATATTCGGAGGTGTCGAAGCGCTGTAGCTGCACGGGATGATTCTGTACGACCGAAATTCGAAGGCTGGATGGCGATGGCTTGGGGATTCAATGCTGAAGAGTTATTTGTTGATAAAGAGGGAGAGAAGTGACGTCCGGCCTCACTAAAACGAGAGCTTGTCGCAAGCTGTCCCTTGCGATTGTCAGCCTTGCATGAATGCCAAGGCGCTAGTCAATTAGCGCGAGTAACAGTGGAGCCGATGGGACCTAGCAATCTCAGCCTTGTCTGAAATTCACCTGCCAACCGGCGCGGAACATTCACTTTGCTTTCATCAACATTCAACAACCTACATGAAATCTCGGCTGCTTCTGTTTTTATCGGTCGAATCTACTCCATACTCTGTATTGAAGACTTGGCCATTCTGAAGATTCCTTTTTACCAACGAAAGAGTTCTGACCTCTCCCTTTATTCAACGATTTCTCAGCGACTGGTTGGTTCTCGGCTTGAACGAGGCTGCAGATTCCGCCTTACCAGTCCATCCATCGCAAAGCGACAAGGATTCACTCAGGAAAACCCCTCGCTTCAAGATGGCCACGGATGAACTAGATGTTGCCGATGCAATAGAGCAACAGATTGCACGCGACATACTTGGCCCCTTCGTTGACGCGCCAACCGCCCAGCTTCTCTTGCCGCAAGCCCGCCAGATCCCTCCAGCTGCATGGGAGATTATCAGAAATGTTTTGGAGACAAGCCCACAGGCGAGAGAGGATGTGACCTGCTTGACCAAGTTGTTGGCGTCCGAGAGCCAGGCGGCCAAAGACGGCCCCGATGCCGATGGAGATGGAGATGAAGATGAAGATGAAGCCGCGGAGCCCTCCGAATTTTCAATGGAGCCAGCAGGGAGGCTACCTCTGACAGATGATTGCCACCACTACACAGGCAAGCATGAAGTGCCCTGGGATATTCAAAAGTAAGTTCTTTGCAGCCGGAATCATAGTCGTCTCTACGGTTGCTAATTCTTTGTGCAGGTATTTCAGTCAGAGATACTCCATCTGGTCCTATTATGATGCTGGAGTCCACATGACTGATGATGCTTGGTTTGGTGTCACACCAGAGCCGGTAGCGAAGTGAGTCTTGAGATTGAATATTGAACGTCATTCGTTTCGATCGCTGCTGACATCTTTCTCAGCCAAATCGCGTTCGAGCTAGCTGAGGGTTATTATGAGCGCGAGCATAATGTCCTTATCGATGCTTTTGGAGGAGCTGGAGGCAATACCATTGCGTTTGCGCTATCCGAGCGATGGGATCGCATTATTGCCATTGAGCGCGATCCCGCGACACTCGCATGTGCCCAACACAACGCCGAGCTCTACGGCGTTGACCCAGGCGCTGTCACCTGGGTCCTCGGCGACAGCTTTGAGTACATGGACCTCCTCGTGAACGCGCCGGAGAAGCTACACCCCGAACTTCGGGTCGACATACAGTCTGCCATGGTTTTCGCCAGCCCACCTTGGGGAGGGACGGGATACAGAGACGAGGAGATTTTCGACCTGAGCATAATGCATCCATACAACCTGCAGCAGTTGCACGAAGCTTACAAGAAGATGGATCATGTCCTGTTTCTTCCAAGAACGAGCGACCTCCGACAGATTGCGAAACTCGCGCCGCCGGGGAAGAAGCTCGATGTTGTCCAATACTGTGTTGAAGGGGCCAGCAAGGCCATGGGCGTCTTTATTCCGGCAGAGCAATCAGAAGCGTCTGGCGAGTGACGTCTTGTCTGGTCCTTTCGCAATGAATTACGAGCGTTTCTTTGTCAGTGTATGAGCGATGAGACTTTCAATATACCCGGTAGGAACTGGTGCGAGGTCATCTTGTGCGTGGTCTCGCCGAGTTCTGATTTCCTTGAAGATCCAACAGTCATGTATAATTAGATTGAAGCTGAGCTGTTGTTTTGTTTTTCTAAGACTCTAGACTGCTTGACGAATCTCTCCTGATTCTCCTCGACAGCCTAGATTAAGGACTGCCATTGACTGCTAGTTCCAAATTGCAACCATAGCTGCCTTTGTAACTGTGGTATTACAAGACTGTTCACTCATTTGGCTACCAATATTTCTTCACTAAGACATTCAGAAAAAAGTCACTGTGTTTTCCGACCACAGTCTGAGGCAAATCGCTCGAAAACGCTGCACAGTCTTTTCGAGCTATTTACGTACTGTGTGTGGTAGGGTTTTACAGCACTTTTCCTCCAATCAATGACGACCCGCTCCAGTGAAGATCATATTCATTCCCATCCTCAATGAAGGATCTCATCACTCAATTTGTTCAAGAATAAGACCAGCTATACACAGCATGGCCAAGGATAAGAAGAAGAACTCCGACGCCAAAAAGGCCAAAAAGGTGAGCTTCAAACATGAAATCTCCCCTCAAGTTACCCCTCCAATAATATGCACCTCAAGCAAAATCTTGATGTCCCTTGACTGAGACCTCTCTTCTCTAGGCGGAAAAGGCAGCCAAGCAGGCCAGCAAGGGGGAGAAAAAGATCAAGAGCAAGACTGCCAAGCTCGAGGGCAGCGACGCCGAGGATGTCGACCTGGACGAGGTGCTGGAGGAGTATCGCCGCCAGCAGGAGCAGTTCCTCAAGATCACGGAGACGGTCGTTGACGGCCCTCCGAAGCCTCGGGCCGCGTCTACGATTCTGGCGTCTCCGCATGAGAGCAACAGCCTGCTTCTGTTCGGAGGCGAGTACTTCAACGGCTCGGTTGCGCAGTTCTTCAACGACCTGCACATCTACAACATCAACCGTGACGAGTGGCGCTGCGTGACATCCCCCAATGCGCCGCTGCCACGATCCGGACATGCCTGGACGAGAGCCTCGAACCCCAACTACGTGTATCTGTTCGGAGGAGAGTTCTCGTCTCCGAAGCAGGGGACTTTCCACCACTATTCCGACTTCTGGAGGCTGGAGCCCGCGACAAGGGAATGGACCAAGATCGAGGTCAAGGGCAAGGACAAGAGTCCGCCGGCGCGGAGTGGCCACCGGATGACATATTGGAAGCAATACATCATCTTGTTCGGAGGCTTCCAGGACACGTCGAACCAAACCAAGTATCTAGCGGACTTGTGGATCTTCGACACAGTCAACTATGTCTGGCACAGCCCCGTTCTTCCGCCTGCCCAGCTCAAGCCGGATGCTCGCTCTTCCTTTACCTTTCTGCCGTCCGAGCAGGGAGCGGTGCTTTTCGGAGGTTACTCGAGGGTAAAGGCCACAGTGCAGCTGAAGAAGAACCAAAAGGGAAATCAACACCAGGCGCAGAAGAACGTCCTCCTGCCCAAGGTTCATGAGGATTGCTTCTTCCTCAGGATGTCTCTGCCTCCCGCCGACGCAGGCCCGAATGTAGGACCTACCGTCCGATGGGAGAAGCGAAAGAAGCCCGCAAACTCCCCGAACCCCGTCCGTGCCGGCGCTACCATGGCATATCACAAGGGTCGCGGGATCATGTTTGGTGGCGTGCATGACGTTGAACAGAGCGAGGAGGGAATGGAGAGCGAGTTCTTCAACCAGCTGTTTGCGTGGAACATTGAGAGAAACAGATTCATGCCGCTCTCTTCACGCAAGCCACGCCAGCAGCAGAAGAAGAACGCGTCGGAGCAGCGAGTGGGAAGACGCGGCCGCGCTCAGGCGAACGAAGAGGAGCTCCTCCGACAGCTGGCGGCACTCCAAGCGGGGACTTCTCTGGAGGACGCGGACGACATTGAGCTGGAGAAGATGCTCGCCGAGCCGGAGGAGGAGGAGAAGCCGGCTAGAGAGATGCCGGTGTCTATGGAGCCGCCACATATGCGCTTCAACGCTCAGTTGACGGTGCAGAACGATGTGCTCTACATCTACGGCGGTACTTATGAGAAGGGGGACCGTGAGTTTACGTTTGACGATATGTATGCGATTGACCTGGTGAAGCTGGATGGGTACAAGGAGATCTTTAGCAGGCCCGTTGAAGACTGGATTGTAAGTTTTGGGATCGTTCTTTTTGTCTTTTTGGTCTTGTTTTTGCGAGTGGGAATCATGAGCTAACAGGATAATGCAGGAATCCGAAGATGAGGATGAAGATGACGAGGACGAAGAAGACGAAGATGAAGACGAGGAAGAGGAGGATGAAGATTACCAACAGCCAGAGCAGCTCCACACAGCAAGCAAGCGCAAGAAGAAGCAAGACGAAGTATCAGAAGTGTCCTCCGAGGCACCCACGCCCTCGACTACATCGGAAGAAGACGACACCGAGACAGCTGCCACATCGGTTGACGATGGCCTGCCACACCCAAGGGTAAGTGAAATCTTCTAACTTTGCTCCTCCCCTTCCTTCTACACCAGTCGACATTCCCCGGTTCTTGGCCAAGTGAATTCGCTGACGATCTTTAATAAAAAAAAAACAGCCGTTCGAATCCCGCCGCGAATTCTTCGTCCGCACCTCGGCAGAATGGCAAGAGATCCTCATGACGAACCTCCGCTGGAAGAACATCCAGCCGGAGACGCTGGCCGTCAAGGAGATCAAGGCCAAGGCGTTTGAGCTCAGCGAGGAGAAGTGGTGGGACTGCCGCGAGGAGATTACCGCGCTGGAGGAGGAGCAGGAGGAGGCGGGCATCCAGGAGGTGGTGAGTCTTGCGGAGAGGGGAGATGCTGGTGCTGTGGGGGGCGCGAGGAGGAGGTGAGGTTTTCTTTTCTGTGCATGTTTGTTTGGAGGGTTTGTTTTTACTTTGTTGGTGTGTGTTGGTTGGGTTTGGGAAAGAGGAGAAGGATGCATATGGTCGCTTCTTGGATGAGGAATGGGCATACTAGTACTTTGTGTTGTGAAGCGATATCAGGTGGCTTTAGCAGTTCAGTTCTACGTAGAGCACAGATGGTAGCGTCAAGGTCTTTCAGCCTCGTAGAATCTCTATCCCAGCCATCCATCTTTCACTTCAACCTCAACACCTCAATCCCAATAACAACCCACTCCATCACCAGCCCAACACCGCAGCAAAAACACATACAAACAAAACCCCCCCTCCAGGTCCCAACACCAAACACCTCAACCTCACCTCCCAGCACCACGTACATCCCCCCCTCAAGCCACCCCCTCCGCATTCCCACACCGCTCTCTTCTCCCGCCGCCCCCTCATCCAGAGAAAAAGCCCGCGATCCATCCAAATAGTCAATTCGGAGACTTGGCCATGGGCGGATACATCTTGCCGTCCCGCTCGACCTTTGGCTCGCAGGTGCACCGGCTGTCCTCGGCGACGGAGTCGAGCACGGAGGGGATGTGCTTGCCGCAGCCCCACCAGGTGGTTTTGTCTAGTAGTAGCTTGTAAGTAAAGCTGTCTACGAGGGGTATCCGAGTGTCTTTTTTTTTTCTCATCTTTTTTTTTGTGTGTGTGCGTGGAAAGATGGGTGTTATATGCACAGCTTCGGGGGTTACGGAGGTCGGATCAGTAGAGGGCTGTGCGGCGGAGAGGACTTACTGCAGGTGCTGCAAACTGCGCTTCGACACATGATGTCTTTTGTCTTCTTGTTGACTTTTTGATAAGTTGAAGTGACAGTATGTGAATGTAAATGGGTAAATGAGATTTGAATTAAAAGCCTGTCTTGAAGGAACGATACAGAGGAAGAGAGGAATGAGTCGTCTAAATAAAGACCTAGAAGTTCGAGCGGCAAAAAGTGGTCGCCGGGCCGGGCAAGGTCAAAGGTGAGGTGACCAGATTCGGCGAAGGCCCCGCCGCGCCCGGGCAAGACACAAGGGGACTTGTACTGGGGAGAACGGCGACCATGATTTGGGTTCTGAGATTCGCCGAAGCTGATGGTGAAGATGTCAAGATTTTCTGATATTAGTCATTTTCAGCAGTGATGTCAGAAGATGATAGCACGTGAGGATAGTAATCAAGCATTTGGATGCTGATGAATGAATTTGGATTCCCCGGTAGCTACCGCGAGTGGCCTCCATTCCCTCCTTGACTGCTGTAAAAGAGCCAGATTTCCCCCAAACATACCCGTCCTATCCAACCATGTTGTTTGATCTCGTTACCATCCAAAATCATGATTTCATACTTTGCCATCTCTTTTTGCTTGGAACGCCAAAAAGAGTACCCAAGAGCCTTCCATTTCCACCGTTCCAGTAAGTCCCCGAAGCCCCGTTGTACCGTTACCGAGTGTCCGAACCTCCCATACGCGATCCCAAACTCGCAAGCTTGCTCAAGCATTAACTGAGACGTCCATCTCCGTCGTCTGTTGCTTCTTGGCCACTTCACTCTCCACTATGGACCGAATGAGGTTCACAGCCACCTCCTGTCCTTGCTTGATCACAGCTTCAGAGCCATCTGCCGGCACGTGAAGGAAGATGACCTTTCTCTCCTTGCCCTGCTTATAGCAGGTTGCCAGGCTTGAATAGTAGATAAAGTCACACAAGTAACGCCCCGCATCGTCAGAGATGCGGAGGTCCAAGTTCTTCTACGAGTTATCAAGTTAGCAAATCACAGCGTCAAGCAGGGCCGCCAATTGGTATGGCCCGGCGGGGGGGGAGGGGGGGTTAAATTATCCTCACCGAGCTATGCTGCTGCCACCTCTCCCAGATGTCCTGTACGTTCAAGTCTGTCCGCAGCTCATCCGGGAGACCGTGCCAAACCCACTCTTCATCCCGCTTCCCCTCCAGCTCATCCAGGTGCCCGCCGTCCACATCGCGCGCCTTGTATCCAGTGCGATGTCCCCGGCTCTCGATCTGGTACATGATCCGCGGGCCGGCCATGCCAATGTGGATGACGATGTCGATCTTGCGATCCTGGTACGTCTCCTCCCAGAATGTCGGCACTGTCTCCCTTACGACCTTGTAGTTGACTCGGAGGGGCTCGGGATGCACCAGGATGCGCACGGGCGGGATGTTGACGGCATTTCGGGCGTTTGGGTCCTTGGCTCTTCGCGGCGGGAGGTATTCTGGGAGGCTCTTGGCAATTTCCCACGAGGGGTTGATGGGATATTCTGATCGGAAGGGCTGGGATTGGTGGTTAGCTCCCTGCTGCAGCTCTGTATAGGAGGAGAAACGGCGTGGAGACGGACCTGGAATCCAGTGACCAGCACTGTCAGCTCTTCATCCACCTGGGAACCCATGGAGCAAGAGGTCGATTATATCCAAAATAGAGATGTCGTATTATTGATTTCGAGAAAGATGGAGGAGGAATCGGCAAAGGTCAGGAATGGCTCAGGGTTCAGGTGCCCAGCCCCAGGGTATCTATAGATCAGGCAATAAACTGGCACGAGTAAGCAGACAGCCGAGATATGTCACCTCGGAGCAAGTCCACGAGCTGAAGATGCTGAGCCGGAAAGCCACGGAGAAGCTGGGGAAGCACTAGAGCTGCCCCGAGGCAACCTTTTATCTTGGTAATGGACGTAAGCATAAGTAAGGGCATTCCTCGGCGTCTGAGTAATGGCCGTCGTGCCTTGGTTATCGGGTCAGACGAACTTGGGAGACGAAGACTAATCTTTCCACGCCACTCACCGTAGGACGTGCAAGCAAAGCTCACCTGTTGGTTCCACGTTGAGCTTGTTTATCCTTAATCTTTCCGAGGTGCGGGGGAGTTTAAGTGGCATGTGGATAGTAGTAGTAGTATGTAGTTGGGGGAGCTTCGGAGCGGCGCCCGCAGCAGGACTAACACCAGAGGGGAAGCAGTAGCAAACAGATTCGGGCCAATGGATTCGTCGACACTGAGCTCCTCTCAATACCAACCATAGTCTCTGGACTATCAATTGACAGCAAGGAAAGACGGGATGCTAACTTTGGTGACCGAGTACATACAGGTGAACTGATCAACACCAGCCGTGGACTAGAAGGGTCACTCTGTAATCCCCTGTACGACTTGATGCTGCACAGTAGCTCAGCAGCGGGGATCGCGGGGTAGATTCCGCTTGTAAACACCTCCAAGTTGACGTTCGAACTGTTTGCTTTACAAATTCCTGCTTTTCTCTGCTGCACATTGGCGGAGATGACATGTAATACATTGTCTTATAATTTCAGGTCTTTACATCTAAGTACTACCTACAAATCAAAGCAGTAAGCCGTATCTCGCATTCGCATTCGTCTCAAGGCAGGTGCAGCGGCGGCTTTGATGACGTCTGATTCCTGCCAAGGTTGACATGACCAGAATACAGTACAAGTATTACAAGGCCATCGGGAGAAGGTGCGCTCTCGTGCAATTGCCTAAATTGATGCGCATGGCTTCTGCCCTCACGTGAGTGAAATCAACCAGCATCACCATCATGAAAACTCAATGCACTTCATCTCATTGTAGGTATTCGACTTTTGCCTCTTACAAGCCTCACTCCCGTGCCGCTTAATCTAACGTACATACCTTAGTATATACAAACTCAAGCACTACTCCAAGGTATGCCGATAACGCCCGCATCGCCGCTGCATCACCAACTCACACTCCGCCAGGTAGCTGCCCGATAATACGCTGACCAACGGACTCTGCATCTGACTTTCGGCCACTCATCTCTTGTTTCGCCCATCATCCGAATACAACAGGCCCAAAGCGGGCGACCAAGCGGACCCCCGGCATCCGAAGGATAAAAGCCATTGCCGCCCACGCAGCCTCACTTTCGGCTTCAAGCGACCCTCCATCCATCATTCCCGCATTGGTGTCGTGTGATGAGCTGTACATTGCCGCCCAGCTTTGTACAGTTGGCAGCTTCATTTGGGGACACGACAGTTGCAACTGGCTTACGGTCTGTCTACAATAACACCGGGTACCAGGTGCCGGTACCAAGCGTCAGGCAATGAGGGTGTGCCTATTTCCCTGGGCTGCAAAAGCTACACCATCGCCGTCTCCTCGTAGCCAGAGACACAGTCCCTATAGTCAAGCCATTGAACATGAGAGTCATTATAGTTGGAGCAGGCATCGCGGGCCTTTCGCTTGCCATTGCCCTCGGCCAGTCTGGCCACCAAGTCACAATCCTCGATGCTGCTCCTCAGCTTGCCGAGCTGGGTGCGGGCGTCCAGATGACACCACAAGCAATCAGATATCTCTTCAGGTGGGGCCTCAAGGATGACTTGATGTCGGAGTCAATTATCCCGGAGAACTTGCATGTTCGGGATGGGCACAGCGGCGACCTACTAGGAAGTATCCGGATCAAGAATATGGAAGCTCAGTATGGCGCCCCGTATATTGTCGTTCATCGGGCCGTCTTACATGCCATATTGCATCGACATGCCATCCGAACTGGGTCGCAAGTGCTGCTGGACAGTGACGTTGTCGAGTATGACCTTGCCAACGGAGCTGTCCGGCTCCGGAACGGCAAACGGCTGACGGCGGACCTAGTCGTCGCTTCCGATGGTGCGTATTGTCCGAATATGAAGGCAGGTCCGCGGTATGCTGACCATTCTTGTGCTTTCCAGGTATCAGTTCTCTCGCCCGATCCAAGCTCTTGGGCTCCAGGGACCCTGGAAGCCAGCCTACTGGATGGGCTGCTTTTCGTATGACGGCCGAGGTCTCCAAACTCAGGGCGGACCCAGCACTCGCGAGTCTAATAGACCTTCAGTCTCGCAGCTCCAACTGGTGGATTGCTCCGCAACTATCATGCATGACGTACTTGATCAAAGATGCCACTTTGCTCAACATCGTTCTTTCTCACCGAGACGATATCAACACCAAAGAATTCACCTCGAGTGAACTCCATGATACGGTCCGAACTCTGTTCAGAGGCTTTGAGCCCCGGTATGTATATTGTCAGCGTTAAGATGAGATACGACACGGTGCAGTCGTTAACCAAGTCGTTGACAGAGTTCAGCATATTCTAGACCTTTCGCGGCCACAAATTGCCAACTACCCTGTGCATGCCGTGCCGCCGTTGCCCTCCTGGGCTCACGAGTCCGGTCGATTCGTTCTGATAGGCGACGCTGCTCATGCAATGGCCTTTTACATGTCCATGGGCGTTAGCATCGCCGTCGAAGATGCAGCTGCACTTGTGGCAGTGCTAGACTTGGCTTGTCCTCCTGATACCGACCCAAGTTTCTCCCATGAACGAAGCGAAGACGTTGACTCTAAGCTAAAGCATGCTCTATATGTCTTTGAAACAGTGCGCAAGCCCAGGGTAGAAGCTGTGCAAGAGGCTAGCTTACACGGCGGCGACTCGTCACATACGTCTGATGAAATGGAACGCAGTGTCCTTTATGAAGCTCTCAGTCATTCTCGCGAGGGGGGAGTCTGGCCCCTGGAAGGTGATGCCAGCAGAGGCGAGTTCGTTCAAAAGACTACACGGACGGGTCAACGGCTTGGTCCAGGGGGCATCATTGACAAGGGAACAAGAGACTGGTGTTATGATTACGATGCCGTCGGGGCCGTTCAGGAGTATTACAAGTCCTCCTCAACTGCAGCAGAAGCTGGAGTCCTTTCGTGAGTCAGTGAGGCAGCCGATAAAGGAGTGAGGAGCAATTCACGCCATCACCTCGCCTTGCTGTACTTGCTCAAGCTTCCCAGAAACGGAAGCTCCGTCGAATTCACAGCCATAACCATACGCGTCCTCGAAAGCTTCCATAACTCCTCGGGAGCAGTCGTTAGTCATAGTGTTGCGGATGACGCTTTCTGCGTTCTTTTAGAGATGGATCTAACCTGCTATGGAAGCCCCGCCGGTGCGGAACTGCCACGTGGGGGTTTGCAATCTCGAATTAACTCCCGCCTCGGATCGATCCCGCTTTTGCCATCGATATAAGAACACATCGCTGCTTCACTTAGTCAATCACGGCCCGTCTATCAACTCTCTATTAGCTCGAATTGCGAGGACTATTTGGATATCTATCGTGCTCTTCTGCATAATCACACCGACATTCGCTTCCGAGGGTGCCGACAAGATGGGATCTCAACCAGATTACAGCCTCCCGCCACAGGAGGTTTCATTCTCGGGCTTCTTGTTTGACATGGACGGAACTATTATCGACTCTACCCCAGCTGTTGTCAAGCACTGGCAAACGTAACGACGCCCTCCGATTTGATTTATTTACAAACATTCCCCGAGATAGACTGAGTACGCTAACAGGACGTAACAAAGAGTCGGTGAAGAAATCGGCGTCGCCCCAGAAGTCATCCTGGAGACGTCTCATGGCCGTCGAAGTATAGACATACTGAAGATCCTTGCTCCTGAAAAGGCCAATTGGGAATGTGAGTTGTACTGTAGTAGTTTTCTCCGTCGTCTGATGACTGCTAGCCGTCGAGGTCACCATGGAGGCGCACAATGTGGCTTGTCGTATCAAGCCGACGCCTTCCTAGTCTGTCGCTGAGGCCTCACACAGACTGGAATCCTTTCCTTTCGCATCCCACAAAGCCTCATCTTAAACAGACCGTGACTGACTGTGCAACCCCATAGATGTCACGAAGATGGAGGGCGAGCTCCCGAAGCGGTACGCCGATGACGTCGTGGAGATTCCCGGCGCCCGTCCTCTCCTCTCGTCCATCATCTCCCATTCTTTTCCCTGGGCCATCGTCACGTCTGGCACCCAGCCGCTGGTCAGAGGCTGGCTGGAGCGGCTGTCTCTTGGCACGCCCGAGCACCTCGTCACCGCCGAGTCCGTCGAGAACGGCAAACCCGATCCGACGTGCTACCGCATCGGCCTCGAGAAGCTCGGGCTGCAGGACAAGGCCGGGGAGGTCCTTGTCCTCGAGGACAGCCCAGCAGGCATCAAGGCCGGCAAGGCGGCGGGGTGCAAGGTCCTGGGGCTGGTGACGAGCCACACTGTGGAACAGGTCGTGGCGGCCGAGCCCGACTGGGTGGTGAAGGATCTCGAGAGCGTGAGGGTGGTGAGACACGAGGACGGGAAGATGACGCTTGAGCTGTCCAACGCGTTGCGCTTCTGATTTGGAATTCTGTGAGCAAAGGAAGCACATGCCGGGGTTTAGAGGAGGAAAGATACTTCTAGAGGGCAACTTCAGGATAGATTCAGATACAGAGCGCGGCATACTATTACTGCAACATTAATTGAAGTCTTATATCTTATACGCATCATGCATTCCGGGGTAAAGAAAGCCCTTGATGAGGGCAGAAAAGAATGAATTGGGAAGGGAGAAGAGAGTTCCTTCATAGATCTCGGCAAGTACATTGGCGCGTGCTCACACATCAGCCCGTCTCGATTGCTAGGCAGCTGAAGAAGATTCGACATCGATGGAGATGAAGTCTCACTTTTTCTTAGACCTCCACAGATGTCTCGTGTTCCTGGCGAGCAAGTCATTTTCTTGGCCCTCCTCTTTTCTCTTCCCCCCCTGATCCCTCCAGTTGTGCCCGAGCACATAACGAGATCGGCAAATGTCTCAGAGGGAGCCGCTGCATCCCTCTTCGCTTTTTCCCCTTTCCCCTTTCCCCTTTTCGGCCCCCTTCCGTACTCGACTTTTCGTGGCTTTTGGGTATTTGTCAATTATGTTCGGTTTTTCGTACTTTCTGAAGAGCTAAGGAGAAAGACAATGTAGTGCTTTGTGAGGTGAAACAGCCTCTACACCACATCACGCACTGGGAGGAAAGGGGGGGTGGGAGGTATCGAAGGGAAGAAAGTTGTCTACCAAGGAGGTTCATTCAACAACCACAACTAGGTACTGCCAAGTCTCGGAGTTTCACTGCAGGTGCCTTCTCTTCATTGACAAAGGATCCCGGTGCCTTGGTAGGTTCATATGATTTGGTCCCAGCAAAGGCAAGGCGCATCACGCCGTGTTACTACTCCCAACATGGACTTACCTGTTGTATCTCCCTCCCCTCCCCTTTCGACACGCTGGGTAACGACCACGACAAGCTCTCGTACAACCGCGTCGTGTTCGCCCCCGTGAATTGGTACAAACCAGGGATGGCAGCACTTCTGGCAGAGAGTTGAACCACTTCGTACCTTAGTTCCCGCCTCTTGGTACTCGCACCTTGTGAAAGGTCCAGGCACAAAGGGGTGTGCCAAAGTAGTATGTGTGTTCTGCAACACTCTTCCCCCATGGCTATAGAGGATCTGTATCACTTGGGAGGAGACGGATGGTAGTAATGCCGTACGGCTTCTTCCGTACAGGCAGTACTACCATCATGCAGTGCCTCGGGCACCACTGCAAATTCGCACATACCTCCTCCATGCTTGTACTCCATACCGACACCTCGGACGAGGGATAACTTTGACGTCCGGTTGCCACTCGAGTAGCACTTGTAAGGTGGCATGTCAGGTGTGACCTCTCCTCTCTCTCTCTTTCCGTATATGTATGTCTCAGCAGTAGGATTTTGTGGTTTTTCTTTCAGGTATGGCATCATCTCTTGAATATCCCAGCTTGGCATAATCTCGCCTGCCTCTTTTCAACAGATGTATACAGGGGTGGGTGGCACAGTTGTATGTCCCGGTATGAGAAAACACAAGTCTCAACGACATAGCAACACCCTCACATGGATGTTTCCTTGTGAGCTGACTGCATCGAGTGAGCGGGGAGTGCCATGTAGAGAGGGGAGCCTTGACTTGTGAGGCGAGACGACGGCGGTTCGTGATACTGTGGCGCTCCAGGTATCGTTCTCACGACGCAGTCTTCGATGTCATAGATCAATTGCAAAGAACTTAGTATTTTGCCCTGGCGCCGGATGAAGAACGTTCCGTTCGTCGGGAGGACGACGATCATCCACACAGGCACCATCCACAACCACAACCATGACCACTTGATCCGTCAGGCCCCATGGGATCTCCAGTGACACGCATGCCGATCTTCTGCTTCTGCGTTGCACGAGGCACCTGTGCTCCGTAATGTCCTAGTATTCCATGCAAGGTCCCGTGCGAGGCGAGAGACTGGACGCACGTCCGGGCACGTCTTGCATCGTCGACTACCCTGCAGATTTCGGCAAAGAGCAGAAAAACGCACCACGCAAAGAAATCGACAGGCACCTGGAAATAGTAGTAGTTGTAGTAATGCCTCATGCTGGTGAGCCAACGTTGGGAAAACAAGAACCGTGCCGAAAATGCCGTGCCTCGATACGCACTTCCCCTTGGATATGCCCCATGAGGAAGCAGGCTGCATGGAAAACCCGCTTTCGCTTCTGGATTACTGCATCCCTCCTCGAGCTTACGCTCAAGGTTTCCTGCAGCTGCCGCCTGGTGCGGTGGTTGGCTCTCGTTCGCCCGCGCTTGCATCGCGACACATGGCCGGAGCCCACTTGTAGAGGGCGGAAGGGCCACTGCGAGATGGTTTCAACCCTCCCTCCTGGCTCCTCTGCGAGTTCTGGATCTCTCGCGGCTGATGCCGGTGCCTGCTGCTTCGTCCTCTGCAGCTGATGTCCACGTCCCGAAAGGGTGACACGGCCCTTTCTTGGCCGCAACTTGCCGTCCGAGACCCTTCGGAGGCTTTTCCCCGCCCTGCAAATGCCCAACATCCAGACCCTTTCTACGGAGTGCCTCGCCTTACAATGCCAGAAGCAAGAAAGCGCAAAGACAGGGGGGGTTATCATGTAGGAGGGGAGAGGGTCCTGAGTACCGCGAGACTAGTGCAGCTCATTGTCTTCATGCAAGCCCGCGCTTCTTGATGAGTGGAAGACTGTGCGGGCAGGACAGTCAACCGGCGAATTCGTCTGGATGGAGTATTACTTCGCGCCCAGCATACAACTGGCAGAGTTGCCGAGCCAAAGAAAGAAAAACCTCGCTCGGATGCCACCGTATCAGTACGAGCACTCGTAGGTGGTAATATCCCCACACTCAGGAGTTGCCGGGCCTGCTCTTGCAGACAGGGGCCTTGTCGAAGCTGCGCAGTATCGGGGAAGCAACCAAGCCAGAACAGGCTCATGACAATATAAAGCACACGTGGGATGAGCGCTCCTGGGCGTAACCCAATGGGACTGTGTGCATCGACCCTAAGCTAGAGCGGTTGGGCGGGCACAGCCGCTCCTGCGCGTCTCGCCAGACTCACTCGTTCTGCTGCCCCCCATATGAGATAACTGCCGTCTGATTGCCATTGCGCGGACTCCTTCGCAACCCGAAGCCATCGTCGCCGCATGGGGGTTTGTACTGTTCGGCCTCGCGCGCATCCAAACAGAACGCACAGAGCGAGCACACGTCCGCTGCCCTAAGCGTGCAATTTCGCGGTTCGTGGGAAAGACGCAGCTGAGGTCGAAACAAGACATGGCTCCACGACTCGACGTGGGCTAGAACCATGCAGAGCATCTTGTTTCTGACTCCTTACACCATCCCATCGCGCTATGGTATTTTGCCATGTGGGAGCCAAAAATGATTTTTCGGGAAGCAACATGACTGGCCAAGATGCGAGATTGTATCTCGTCGGCTAGTCATTTCTGACAACATTCCCCATGCTTCCACGGTCCCATGTTCTCATACTCCATGACCTTACTCTGTAGGTGCAGCCCTCGGACGCCGTGCCCTCGGCCAGGAAAAGATGCATATCTCGAAGGTTTCG